AAAATGTGCCACTACGACAACGTGATTATTTCACTCATTAAATTACATTAAAAAAATATGTATTTTTTTCATATTATGGAAGAATTTCTAACGTTTGGGGATCTGTGGCAAAATGATGAAACTATGGAGTACCGGTAACTAAACTGGACAGCAAAAGAAACTTGCCACTTCTGTCAAAGGCCACACATAAAAATTCACTCCATAGAAATAAACAATTGTTGTACATAGGTGTGCTGCAATACCCCCTTATTAATCACAAGCCCAAAAGCAAGTGGTTATCTTTATAACAAAGAAGAAATTTACATGCACAATAACTTGGTTACTGAATCAAAAGTCACAGAATGTAACAGAATGAGCCTTAAAGGCTTAAGTTTTATGCAGAAATCAATGTCACAGGACGAAATGAAGAAGTTACAATCATTACTTTTCAATAATGTGTGTGTATAGTCAGTAAGGATGGTATCACGAAACAACTCATGCACATCGTTTTGACAAAACAGGTGCTCACTTTGTCATTGGTTTTTTAAATGTTGTCCATTCATGGGTCACTTTGGCTTGATGGAGAGTGCTTTTTGTGTGACTTTTGATTCAGTAACGAAGTTGCTGTGCATGTCAATTTCTTCGTTGTTATAAAGATAAGCACTTGCTTTCGGGCATGTGATTAGTAAGGGGTATTGCAGCATACCTGCGTACAAAAATTGTTTATTTCTATAGAGTGAGTTTTTATTTGTGGCCTTTGACAGAAATGGCAAGTTTCTTTTGCTGTCCAGTGTACTTGTACACGATAGGCTTTCTTTAACCTTGAAACAGGATGCAAAATTCACCTTGGAAAGTGCCTTTACAAACAAACAAACAATGTACCACCTTTTTCTGACATTTTAATCATTTAATTCAGATTCCTTTTTTTACAATACCAGTGACCAGCACGCAAGGAATAACTCTCACCAGCAGCACAGAAATAACAGCAACTGTCAGTACCACAGTTGCCGTTTCTGTGCTTACTCTAATCAGAACAACAGAAGGAACAACCCCCCTCGGTACCACGGGCGGGACAATGACTCTTGTCAGTACTACAGATGGTACAACTCCTGTCAGTTCCACAGAAGTAACAAGTCCTGTAAGTTCCGCTGAAGCAACAACCCCTGTCAGTACCACAGAGGAAACAACGCCTGTTGGTGCTACAGATGGTACAACTCCTATCAGTAACCCAGAAGCAACAACTCCTTTTAGTACCACAGAAGGAACAACACTCGTTGGTACAACAGGAGGAACAACTCCTTTCAGTTCCNGAAATGTGCCTCTACGACAACATGATTATTTTCACTCATTAAATTACATTAAAAAAATATGTATTTTTTTTTCATATTATGGAAGAATTTCTAACGTTTGGGGATCTGTGGCAAACTGATGAAACTATGGAGCACCGGTAACTAAACTGGACAGCAAAAGAAACTTGCCACTTCTGTCAAAGGCCACACATAAAAATTCACTCCATAGAAATAAACAATTTTGTACACCAGTGTGCTGCAATAGCCCCTTATTAATCACATGCCCAAAAGCAAGTGGTTATCTTTATAACAAAGCACTAACTACAGGATAATTATGGAGAGTGCTTTTTGTGTGACTTTTGATTCAGTAACGAAGTTGCTGTGCATGTCAATTTCTTCTTTGTTATAAAGATAAGCACTTGCTTTCGGGCATGTGATTAGTAAGGGGCTATTGCAGCACACTGGTGTACAAAATTGCTTATTTCTACGGAGTGAATTTTTATGTGTGGCCTTTGACAGAAGTGGCAAGTTTCTTTTGCTGTCCAGTTTAGTTATCGGTGCTCTATAGTTTCATCAGTTTTCCACAGATCCCCAAACGTTAGAAATTCTTCCATAATATGAAAAAAACCTGCGTACAAAAATTGTTTAATTCTATAGAGTGAGTTTTTATTTGTGGCCTTTGACAGAAATGGCAAGTTTCTTTTGCTGTCCAGTGTACTTGTACTCGATAGGCTTTCATTAACCTTGAAAGAGGATGCGAAATTCACCTTGGAAAGTGCCTTTACAAACAAACAAATAAACAATGTACCACCTTTTTCTGAAATACTAATCATTTAATTAAGATTGTTTTTTTACAATACTAGTGGCCAGCACGCAAGGAATAACTCTCACCAGCAGCACAGAAATAACAGCAACTGTCAGCACCACAGTTGCTGTTTCTGTGCTTACTCTAATCAGAACAACAGAAGGAACAACCCCTCTCGGTACCACGGAAGGGATAATGATTCCTGTCAGGATTACAGATGGTACAACTCCTGTCAGTTCCACAGAAGTAACAAGTCCTGTCAGTTCCGCTGAAGCAACAACTTCTGTCAGTACCACAGAAGAAACAACGCCTGTTGGTACCACAGATGGTACAACTCCTTTCAGTTCCGCAGAAGTAACAAGTCCTATCAGTTCCGCAGAAGCAACAAACTCTGTCAGTACTACAGAAGAAACAACAGCCGTTGGTGCCACGGAAGGAACAACTCCTTTCAGTTCCACAGAGGTAACAAGTCCTGTCAGTTCCGCAGAAGCAACAACCTCTGTCAGTACCACAGAAGAAACAACGCCTGTTAGTACCACAGATGATACAACTCCTGTCAGTAACCCAGAAGCAACAACTCCTCTTAGTACCACAGAAGGAACAACACTCGCTGGTACCACAGAAGAAACAACGCCTGTTGGTACCACAGATGGTACAACTCCCGTCAGTGACCCAGAAGCAACAACTCCTCTTAGTACCACAGAAGAAATAACACTCGTTGATACCACAGAAGGGACAACTCCTGGCAGTACTACAGACAGGACAAGGACTTCTTTGAGTGGAACTGAAGGAACATCTCCTGTCGGTAACACAGATGGATCAACTGGCGTCAGTACGACGGAAGGAACAACTCCTTTCAGTACTACAAGAGGAACAATTTCTGTCAATACCACTGAAGGAACTACTCGCGTCAGTTCCGCAGAAGCAACGAGTCCTGTCACTTCCGCAGACGCAACAACCCCTGTCAGTACTACAGAAGAAACAACGCCTGTTGGTACCACTGAAGAGAGAACGCCTGTTGGTACTACAGATGGTACAATTCCTGTTAGTACAAAAGAAGGAACAACTCCTGTCGGTAACACTGAGGGATCAACTGGCATTGGTACGAAGGAAGGAACAACTCCTTTCAGTACTACAAAAGGAACAATTCTTGTCAGCACCACTGAAGAAACAACAACCGTCAGTTCCGCAGAAGCAACAAGTCCTGCCAGTTCTGCAGGAGCAACAACTCATGCTGGTACACCAGAAGGAACAACACCCGCTGGTATCACTGAAGGGACAACTCCTGTCAGTACTACAGACGGGACAAGAACTCCTTTGAGTGAAACTGAAGGAACAACTCCTGTCGGTTACACAGAAGGGTCGACTGGTGTCGGTACGACGGAAGGAACAACTCCTTTCGGTACTACAAGAGGAACAATTTCTGTCAATACCATTGAAGGAACTACTCGCGTCAGTTCCGCAGAAGCAACGAGTCCTGTCACTTCCGCAGATGCAACAACCCCTGTCAGTACTACAGAAGAAACAACGCCTGTTGGTACTACAGATGGTACAACTCCTGTCAGTATTGCAGAAGCAACAACTCCGGTTAGTACCACAGAAGGAACAACACTCGTTGGTACCACAGAAGGGACAACTCCTGTCAGTATTACAGACGGATCAAGATCTCCTTTGAGTGGAACGGAAGGAACATCTCCTGTCAGTAACACAGAGGGATCAACTGGCGTCGGTACGACGGAAGGAACAACTCCTTTCAGTACTACAGGAGGAACAATTTCAGTCAGTGTAACAGAAGGAGGAAGTCCCGCCAATTCTGCAGAAGCAACAAGTCCTGTCACTTCAGTGGAAGCAACAACCCCTGTCAGTACCACTAAAGAAACAACGCCTGTTGGTACTACAAATGGTGCAACTCCTATCAGTAACCCAGAAGCAACAACTCCTGTTAGTACCACAGAAGGAACTCCTTTCAGTACTGCAGAAGCAACAAGTCCTGCCACTTCCGCAGAATCGACAACCCCTGTCAGTACCACTGAAGAGAGAACGCCTGTTGGTACTACAGATGGTACAATTCCTGTTAGTACAAAAGAAGGAACAACTCCTACCGGTACCACAGACAGGACAACGACTCCTGTCAGGACCACGGATGGTACTACTCCCGTCGGTAGTACAGAAGGAACAGGTCCAATCAGTACCTCAGAAAGTCCTGTCAGTTCTGCAGAAGCTACAGCTCTTGTCAGTACTGCAGAAGGAACAACTCCTGTTGGTACCACAAACTGGACATCAACTCCTGTCAGTACAACAGAAGGAACAGCTTCTGTTGGTACTACGGACAGAGCAACTAACGCCAGTAGTACAGAAGGAGCAGGTCCTGTCAGTTCCGCAAAAGCAACAACTCCTGTCAGTACTGCGGAAGCAATAACTTCAGTAAGCACCAAAGAAGGAACAACTCCTGTCAATACCACAGAAGGAAGAACTCCTCTCCATACTAAAGACGTAACATCTCAAGCGAGCACCAAAGAAGGAACAATCACCGTCAGTAGGCCTACCACAGTAGCACGGAGCACAGACAAAACGATTCCTGTAAGCACAGAAGGAACAAATCCAGTTAGCAGTACAGAAGGAAAAAATCCAGCAGCCACGACTCAAGGCTCAACTAGAGCTAGAACCACAGCCATCACGACCATCTTGGTTACTACACCTGGTAGGCATGACTTATATTGACCGTAAAAATTTTCAATTATGAATAGTTTTGTTTATGTTCCAAATTAGTCCACCTTTGAAGGTCTGGAAGACCAAAGGAGATACAAAAGATAGTGTCAGCTATTTTTTCACACTCACCATTGGTTTCTGAATCCAACCACATTACGTTTTGAAATGAATTCTTCATGCTTAGCAATCTGTTTCTATCTTTAATCCTGCAAAGGTTGCAAGCTGAGCTGTGATAACAAAGGGGTGCTTGATGCAAAGTTCTGCGAGTGCGTATGTCTTCCTGGCTACTCAGGCGAACGTTGTGAAGGTGAGGATCCTGAGTTGTCGTTCTTTTCCCCTTAGCTGGAAGAGTATGACTCCCATGACAATTGCCCGAGCAAATAATCGAAATGGAAACGATCTGGCAGGAAACTGTTAGAGAAGGGCAGTGATTTCTTTAGCCTTCATGGCATCAGCTGCGTTATTCTTTTGTGTGTCCATTTTTTAAGAGAGTGTCCGGGGAAAAAATAGGTGCAGCTATTGTGCGCCTTCCTCGATCTTTTCAATGTACTTCTTGTGACTGTCACTACAAAATATTAATTGAACTTGGCTCCAAAATTAGCCCGTAAACAAAGTTTCCTATTTATTTTACTACCAGTGCCTCCTGAGAAGAACCCGTGCTCGGCAGAGCCACCACCATGTGATAAAGAAGGAGAATACTGTACTGTCAATTCGACACCTAGTGGATACGAGTGCTTATGCCGTGAAGCGGATGGTTATGTGCTAGATAAAAACAATTGCATACGTAAGTACCTTCTAGACGTTGTAACCAAAATTGGAAACTCCCTCAGTTTTATGGAAGTTTTTTAGTCTTGATAGTGTGAATCGGACTACAGTATTGCCTACGTTAAGGTCGCTCCACGATTGTATTGATTAAACACCCTCCATTCTAGTTATTTTCTTTACAAGTTAGACCCTCTCAATTTTTTTTTTGGGGGGGGTAAGGAGAATACGTTACGGGGTCACAATTTGAATAACATCTATATTTGTGTCAGGTTATTTAAATCCTCACTTTTCCTCGCCTGCCGTTTATATGACTTAAGCTTTCTTTAAATCAGTGAACGTTCAAAATTTGGTGAAGGAGAGCTGAATGTACTTCTGCTAACCTGATTTGGCCTAAATTAATGTGCATTTAAGGGACCATCTTTAGCACATCTTAAGGCAATTGCTTTGTCAAGGGCGCTGCGTCTCAATCATCCACATTAAAGTAAGACATCAATTTTATGGCCACTATAAAGTGGTTATTAGGAAAATGCTATACCTAGTACAAATTGAACTGTGAAGGGTAATAAATTTAGGGCTTACACAGCCTACAGCCGAGCTTTAATTAACAAGTATCTGAAAAAAATGCATGCAAAACAATTAAATGACTAAGTGCACGCCACTCATTATAAAACTCCAAAACAAATCACTTATTGCCAGTGCTTCGATGGTAACAATTTGTTAATAACTGAATGGGAAATCACCTTAGCTTAATAGATTCTCATGTCGTCCCCAAGAGGTAGTAGGCCTACTTATTGTATGATAAAGGTCTGTGTAATAATTGAAATTATTCTTCCTTGAATTCGTCTAGGTAAGAAGTCTTTCACAGCCAAGCTCCGTGTGACAGATATAAACGGCGTCGGGGCAGATTACGAGCCAGCATACAGAGACATCCATTCACAGGCTTCTCAAGAGCTATTTAACCAAGTGACACCAGTTGTAAGGATTTTCCATCTGTAAATCCTTTGCCCTTTTTCGAGAGCACACTAATAACTCGTGCTATTTGGGTACTCTAATTTGATTTGATCAGTGACAACACACGTGGTAAATGATGCTATTGTGTAAGTTTCAATATACTTACAGTATCATTGCATTCGGTAGTAAAGAAACTTATTTTAAAGATTACTTTAAAGGACCGCCTCAGCATTTCTCAGTTCTAAACGATATAAACACCTCCAGGGAGATTCTCATGAACACCTCTGTACCTTTACAGTTCCTCGGCCTACTCCCAACAAAACCCTCTCTCGGCGTCAAAAATAATTTCATGCATATCGTTTTGAAGAAGCCTGCAAAATATTCAGTAGTACAGAAAATGCATTCGTGATGCGAAGGGTTCTCCCTTATAACCTTTTTTTTTTTCTTCACTGCGAAAACTGTATTTACAGCTGCTTTCAGTTTGTTGAATATAGTTACGTTCTTAACGTGCAAAGCAGTACGGCTAGATACAGTGATTACCAATTGAACTTGACTTTATTTACCATCTGGATACGTAATGTTTGGTTTCTAAATATGTTTACAAAATGATAACAAGGTTGTGTTTAATTGCTAAATCGTGTGAATCCAAAACGCGCCATCCACCAAGGTGGCACAGTTATTCCTCGTTAAATAATCACTCATGCAGCTTTCGTTTCCAAATTACAATGTTTTTGCTTCTGTTCCACCGCAGATACTCGAAACGCTGAGGAACAACCCGGCGACTTCGGCGGTGGAGGAAGTCAATGGTGTTGGCCTGGCGCAAGGGAGCGTCATCGTCCAGACGGCGGCAACTTTCAGTGTCAACAGCACCGTCACGGGTTCACTCATCGAGAAGGTGCTGAAGACGGACGCTTTGAACGACGGCAATTCGACTCTTACTCTGGACCCTGAAGCACTCACAGTGTCAGGTACACACACTCCCGAAATAAGTGTACTTACCTTAGGAAAACTACAGCGATGCCCTAAAACACCACGTTATCTCGATACCGGTGTAGAGGTTCCACAGGACTTGTAAGTATTACAATGCAATTGAGGCTTCAGGCTTACGAGCTAAATTGCCTAGGGCCCTTTTTGAGGTTTCATTATGTCAGAAAGACTTTAAAATGATGGCTCAGAATGTTACAAAACTCTATGGCTGATGGCTGAAGCGGCTAGCTTGTAGCATCCATAGATACGAGTGTTGTATTTCGAACCCCATACAGCCATTTAATTCGAACATGGCCATAATGTTCTGCGATGCACATCAACACTAGAAGCTGAACGTGCTGTATTTTGTCCAAACATCGTAGTCTATACAAGTCAAACCAGTTGGTCAAATAAAGTTCGGCTACACATTTAAATCAACCGCCTGCCAATCTTTGTTTGAAAGGTTAGCTTGGATTAAATTTCAGCAACGTAAGAAACACAAAATAGGCATTGCAACAACCAACACGTGGTTGATTCTCTCTTAATATGGGGAACAATTTCCTAGCTGCCAAATCATGTTTGCTATGTGCTGAGTAATTACAAATGCCCAAGTTCAAGACGCAAATTGCAAACCCGCAAATTGGATGATCATCACAAGTGCTGTGTACAATTACTAACATTTTCGTTGCCCAATATTTAGAAACATTTCATCCCTATAATGGACGTGAAAAGTCAATAAACTTGTATAAATTAACTACCAAACACCATAGAAAAAATCAATATTCAATTATAAACGAGATCTCTGTTCAACGTCAGGGTAAAACTTGACCTATCATTTGCCCTGTTGATTGAGGTGAACACAATGTTTCAAAATAACCAAATTTGTTTGTACCTTCTCGTTCTTTTCGGTTTCAGAATCAACAACTGAGTGTCCTTCTGATTTCTGTGTAAATGAGGGAAAGTGCGTAAAAACTGGCTACTATCCACAGTTTGATTATACATGCAGGTTGGTATGACTGTAGCCCAGGGTACAATTCTCACCTCATGTCAAGAAGGAGGTTCAGAACCCCTTGATCCCATAACAGAGAATTGCTTTGCGAACATACGACAGGTTTACCCCCAATGCACTTTTACACGTGGATTAAGCTATAACCTCAAAGAAACTTTGAAGTAATTGACTCTGAAGTAAATGTAATGATCTGTCTTGAAGAATCCACAGCTCCTTGTTTGGTAACCCGACCCAGAGGACAAGCTGTAACATCCATGTTTAAAACATATGACAACGGGTGTTACTTTCCCCCTCCCGATAGGCCGATGCAACGGTCTCTAATAATAGTATTCCGCCCACGTCACGGCTCATCACATTTGATATAACAGGATTCAGCGTGAAGTAGACATTTTGGGACAAGCTGTATCTGACAAACCATGGGAACAAGTAAGGGTTTGCTGAAACGAATAACTGTTTGGCAGTGTTGGAGTACTCGTACGGTACTCGTAATACCAGAGTACTCGGCCCTGACTCAGTTATCACTTATCAGTACTCGAAAATCAATTGTACTTGGCCCGTACTCGATTCTTTGTACCGGTACTTGGATTTTTGGCGTACACGACCCTTACGTACTCAGTACTCGACGCTAATACTCGAGAAAACATTCGAGTACATCACCTTTTGTCTATCGCATTTTTGGTGCTTGGTGATGAGCAAAGATTGCATTGCTCAACCTTGAGGATAACAAGGCCACACAGAGGTTTCACTCTGCAGTCTGTACGTACAGGATGCTTACCGCGCCCTGGCAACAAGGAACCTGCTAGGCTAGTTTCTGCCTCTACAGCGTTTAATATAGGAAATCGAGGCGCTTTTTTATTTACCTTCTTGGTATTTTACATGTACACGTACTTGGATTTTGACTCAGATTTTGGTACTTGGGCTCAGCCCACTACTCGACCTTGAATGTCGAGTCACCAGTGTACTTGTAATCGGCCCAGGACTCGGCCCAATAAAGTATTCGGAGTACTCTGTACTCGGCTTTTAGGACTCGACTCCAACACTGCTGTTTGGTGCTGGTCATTCTGTATTTTAGACCTATTTTAAAGTGATAAGGGCCTAACTTAGTGCTTGTCGCTTGTTCCACAGTTGTCCTGGAGGTGTGAGTGGGCCTAATTGTGAAATCGTTGAGGGTAAGACAATGTTTATCCATCGGCAAACTCAATCATTTCAGAAGAGCGACAGACAAAAAGCACACTGATGAGGAAGTCAAAGACGTTATAATTTATTAATGTTCACTTGTCTGTAATGTTTAAAAATACACTTTCACACAGATGGAATAACAAGTGTGGCAGTGTACATAGCATTTCAACTCCAGATTTCAACTCCAAACTAAAAGCCTGATTGAATTAAGGGAACATAAAACAGTTTAATACGTTGCCTCAACATACTACCAAGGAAACGAGTTAACACAAGAAATTTCAAGAACTCCACACTGCATCAAGAAACAAATAAACATCATCTCAATAAACATGAGCTTGACTACTTTATCTTGATTACTTAAGTAATCATTTCAAATCAACACCAGAACGTAGTAGAAAATGTATTAATAATTCAAGGACTTTACATTTACGATCATAATTCACGGAAAAGTAACTATTTTCTCTGTTACTATATTGATTGGATCTAGACGGTAAAGGCATATCGTGAGCTTTATAGTCAAGGGTGCATTGCTTCAGTGCATGTAATTGACCATTATTCACTTTGAATGATTTTGTTTAATTAACAGAAGAAAACAATCAGTGGATCCAGTAAAATTTCATTTACTGCAGAAAATATGGACAGACACGTTGACAAATGTTGTTCTCATTGCTGTCCATGTCATTGTGGTTAGTTTTTGTTGTCCTTGTTTTGTTGTCGATGTGGTGTATTGCTTATGGGGTGTTGTCGCTAATGTTTAAGCGCATAGGAGGGCAAGCACATGCAACTTTGCCAGACTGCAATTTTAGTCACAGAACCTACCTGTATTTCCAGGTTTGTCCCCATTTGTCATCGTCGCCATCATCTTCGGCGGCTTGGCTGTCCTGGTGGCCACGGCGGTGGCCGTGTTCTGCCTGTGCGTCAAAACGCGACAGGAGAAGGGGGTCAAAGACTTGGACAACGCAGACTGGGACTTCACTGGGCTGGAGAACCCTGAGCTCCGCACGACGTCATTCTCCAAGGGCGAAGTCAACGGTGCCCGGCGTGAGGAGGACCCTTGGGCACCCAGGGGAGTCTTGGACGTCCTCTCTCCCGAAGAAGAGCAGCGGATGAGCCAAATAGCTGAAGTGATGGCTAGACCACCTCAAGAAATTCAGGTACAGTTGCCTCATTGCTGGGGTACTTCTTAACATTTTTCCTTTCCAGCGGAAATATCACTATTGGGAGGAAACTTGTAGTCGAAATACCTCTAAATGAATCCTGATCTGATACTTGTAAGCTTAAAACTGGAGTTCTAAATCTTAGTTCTTGTTGTTAAATTGATTTCTTAGTTTTGTTTCGAGGAAAGACATATTTGCAACTAATTTAACATACATGAACGGTATTTTTCACACTGAAGGCATTGCGCATCAATAGCTTTTCACTGTAACAGAAGTTAACTTCATGTGATTTTTAAAGTGTAAATAAACTTATTCATCCACACGTTGACAAAGGTGACGTTCGACCAGGAGCCACTAGCAGCGCTTGGGGTCAATCACAATTTTCCTCGGTTTGTTCCGATAGTTGAGTCGGAAAACGTGGTCAAGTATGGATCTGATCCGATTCTCATCTTTTGGCAATGCACATAGATTTCGAGAGTGGAAGGATTTACGTCCTTGGAGAAGATATTCCCTGATGCAAGAGCGGTGAAATATGCCATGAGCGATTCTGTGTACACACTTGCCAAATGTTTATTTTACTTTTACAGAGAAGTGGGTATAACGACCAGAGGACCAGTCTATATCAATGGCAGAGCATCCCCCTCCCCAGGGCGAGAATTTACCGGCAGCAGGAGGTCCTACCTGTTAGAGTAAGTGTACTTCATGGCTTTTGCGATCGCCCAACAACCAAATTCGTATAATGGCAGTACCGATCGCATAATTATTGCTTCACACTGGCTTTTCCGTCATGTTTAGAATTTTCACGCACTTTATCAACAGCTCTGTGCCATTGTTTTCCCTCGTTAAAGTTGAATTAAATTCTGATTTTAAGTTATTGTTCGGTATAACGAGAACACCTCATTACAGTGCCACACACGTCAAAGTTCGTTTTTCTTGGGTATTTTTGAAAAACTAAATTCCGGTTTGAGTCCCTCATTGGACTAGAAAGGATGACGTTCTTTATAACAATTTACACATGTTAGCAGGCTTTCTGTCGAAATGTAACTCAGAAACGCAAAGCAAGCAAACGCGGTAATTTGTTGGGGTCTTTCCATCCCAAACATTACATTTGCAGTGCACTGTTGACAGAATGGGTGAACGCTGAAGAACTTGGTAATAAGCGTTCGCACATCGCTACCTTGAAGTCAATGCACCAGCAAAAAGTTTAAGAAATCTGAACATCGAGCATGGCCGAGGCTATATATTTACGTTGTCGCTGCCATTCACAACACCGAGAGCTTGCCGTGCCGAATGTAATTTGCCTTGTCGAATTGGCACTATATAAACACATTTAATGGATCTGCCGATCAAATAAAAATCAAATTATTTCAATTTGGCACAGTGGTAAAACAGCGTATAGCCTAGGCCTAAGATTTGTTTCCTTGTGCAATTTACGCCACACGACTCCGGAGAGAGGACGTCGGGTCTTGGAAGAGTCGATGGCATGGAAACTCGCCCCTTGGCTCCTAAGCAGTAGGCCTACTGGAACATTTCTAGCGTAAAATGATAAACTTTCAATATCCAATTATCCCTATTTATCCTCCCTGAGCCATTGGGCAGCGCTCCCCCCCCGAAAAAAATACTCGCCTTTATTACACAACGAGTCCTGTTTGCTCTTAACAGATCGAAATGAACGACAACGATGGTGGACGACGGGCCCGGTACCACTTTTCCAACATCTAATCCAGCGCAACCAGTCCCCCCCCCCGATGTGCCACCAATACACTCACCAGTGCCCTCTGTCTTCTAACAATAACGGTGGGAAATGCAGAACGATTCAGGCGCGTGGAAGTAGTTTCAAAACTCAAACAAACCTGGACTTGATAACCGATGTTGCTTGCTCTAATCATAGAGCAAGCAACAGTGAATGATAGGCCTACATGTATCATTCTCCTCAAATGGGTATGGGAGTTCAGGTCTCATAAGATGTGTAATTATTTATTAGGTTGCCTTGAACTCGTTTATACATTTCAGTTTTTACTATTTCCCTTTGACATTGTAAATATGTCATGTACATGTGCATTTCAAGAAATAATTTAAGCTGGTGAAAATTGTGCAAAGGTTCGATAATGTCGATTTCACCAGAAACGGTTTAATTACCCAACTAGTCGAGAGAGATTTTAATCTCCACACGAAGCGTAGAAAAGTAAGGATGCAAATGCATATTCGAATGAAAAGCTCAAAACTGCTTTATTTATTTATTGCTCTTGAAAAAATGAGAAAAACGCCGCATCTATTGTATACACTGCTTTATGAAGAAATAACTGCCTTAAACTATGCAGCTGCGCACTGTACAAATTCGGAATACAATTTACAAAACTTTATCATCATCTGCAAAATTGTCACATATTAAAATCAATAATAGCCGAGAAATGCTCTTATTATCACAATCCATCTCACAACAAGCTATTCAAAGAACCGTGTAAATACCATTCCTGTGGTATTCTTTATCTACCGTTCAATGTTCTTGTCACCTCTGACTCATTTCCGGTTGATTCGCATATAACCACGACTATATGGTATTGCAGCAGTCATGCTGAAGCACGCAATGTAATAGAGGGATTTCACATTAACGCCGTCTGCGCATATCCGCATCGAAACCGAGGCTCTCTGTGTTGGACTTCCTCGCGCGCCCGTGGGGTCGAGGCAGTACATGCAGTATCCGGTTCGCAAGTGTGACGCCACTTCAGTTTAAACCACGCCCACTGCACATGAAGATACAAGACCATCGCTGGGACATTTGTTCGCGGTAAATTGCCGTTATTTTTTCTTTTGATTTTTCGTGTCAAGTCATCCTGAAAGACTCTTCCACAAAAATCTGCAGCCTGAAAAGTCTGAATTTAACGTGTGGTTCTGAAATTAACATTTCGATAAGTTCTTCTTTTGTGAAAACAGTTTGAGAGACACCCGGTTATTTCAAATATACTAAGAGCATACGTCAGTTTTCATCATTTTTTTTTTCAAGGATACCTTTGGTCAAACCTTTTTGCAACACCAACCAAACGTGTTTTAAACGTGTTTACCGACTCGTCTCGAGAGTTCTGTACTAGACAAGCTACAAAAATAAAAATAGCGCTAAATGTCTCTGACAAGTTCAGTTTAAAGATACTCGTTGGACCACTTAGATGCTTGTACCTCGTGCAAACTAAAACCAACTGATAACCAGAAAGCTACTTAAAACATCTTGTACTAACGAATTCAACTAAAAGCAGAATTTAACTTAACAATCACCTAAAAGGATGCTAGGTACATGTATATAAGGAAACTCTAACGTTTGTCGTCAATAGACCTTATTCAGAAGGAAGCCCTTTTTATCATGTTCCCTGAAGCTATTTTATACAACGAATAGGGTAGTGCCAGACTGTTTTGGGAGCCATGCCTCACTCTCATTTTGTAAAAACAGATTGCTTAAAACATTTAGGTGTAATAAATCACTTATTTCAAATTAGTCATCATCGTAAATGAAATTCATCAGTAATGAATTTTAGTTCATGGCTTTATGGTTTTACTCAGAGGTTCCAAGAATTAAAAAAATAATAATAATCTCGCTCTCAATTCAACATGGCCGACCTTTGAATAAAGTTGATTGCCTCTGTATTAAAGGTTTCACACTGAGCCCCACTTTATTGATATTAAGACAGAAAGCGAACCCCGCCTACTCAACACTGTATAGGCAAGTATTGTTGCCCTATGCCAGACTTATCACGTGAACGTCCACTTCTGGCCCAGGTCCATGCTCCGGCACATTCGGATCTCCACTTCGGTTCCTTTCTCCGCCTTGGCCACATGCAAGCACAGGCTTGAAGGGACGTGTCGTATTCTGCTGCCCTAAAAAAACAGAACGTCGCAGTGCCGGTTATAAAAAGCATTATGATTTACCACTACAGAAAGGCGTTTTATCAATACAAGCATACCATACACTACAACGATAAGTGATGTGTAATGCGCACAGAACGGCAGGCTGTCAAAAATTCAACTCGATTTGTTGGAAATAAAATGCTCTGAACGTCACACAATAAGCCAAAACTACAACATCAACCGGTCATCGACTAATTTCCTAAAGAAAACACGCGCTCATATTCTCAAATTACACAATGTATGATGTTTGCTAGAACACATGCGTTTATCCTTGATATTGTGGATGTCACTGATCTCATGTAACTTCTCAACATGTAGTTACCATTTTGGGACGTCTTATTATTGTAAGGGATTTTAAACAACTTACGTAAGCATTTACGGAACATGAACCACCAAATGTTTCCACAACAGCCCGCTAGAGTAATCCTAATCATTGGTGCATGGGCAACATAATTTTGCTTAGCAGTGATGAACATAAGTAGACGTTTTTGAAATAAAAGCAGAGATTGCAATATTTTTTCAAAAGATAAATTAAAACTGCCTCGCTGATAGAAACTATGATTTCTGGGCAAAGTCAGAATGCGTGCTTACTACTCCATAAAAAAACTGCCTGAAATTGTATCGATTAAGTTGATCCACAAGGGTTTAAGTTTTAAGAAAAACCCGAATGCTTAATGGAAGCTCAATATTTTTTCAGCTTTATAGGTTTGAGTGCTGATATTCAGTATTACCATTTACTGTTTTGAAGGTTCGGCGATGCTGTACATTTTGCAACCAAAGTGAAGTGAACTTGAATAAGAAGTATTTTTTTCACGTGCTCCTTTATTTCCTTAAAAAGCAAAACTAAGATCGTGTGTAACCAAACTTGTAGTAAAACTTGTTCCTGATGAAAATAACTATTTTATTTTTCTACTGCATCTTTTGTATTCAGGCTTTTTACGTGCCAACAATGTTGAGAAGAATAAAGTATGAATTCAACAACGATTTGATTGGAGGATTCAGTGTCAGTTGTATTTATTTATTTTGATTTACATCCAAACAAACAATGATGCAAGCGTCCTGTCCACTTCAAACATAAAGTATCAGCCTGCACTCTCAGCTAAAGAGCACAAACATGTTTTCTCTGATTTTATCTGTTCAAATAAATATGGAAGAATCCAAATCGAATGCAGAATCATTTGTCTTCAGAGCTCAAGTTAAGTAACTTAACAAGCTTAGAAAGGCTTTTTTCTGTTCATGCCAAGATGCGAATTCTGACTGTAGATTACGTCATTCTGAGAAAACAGAGAAGACAACGAAGAAGAAATGTTACAATTTCATTTTAAGGGAGATGCTGACACTGCTGTGCACTAGAATATGGAATACCGGGTAACTTTTTTTCATGAAATGTGACACAAATTCATTTGAAGTGCTTGTGTTTACTCTTGCATATCTTTTAAAACCGTTTGGGTTATATTTGATGTTTTAAAGAGGACATTATTCAGTCGTAGATTTGTTTGAGAGGAAGCACACTGCATAGCAAGATGACTCCGTGTGTTACCTGCTCTTCGTATCTCCATGTCTGTTTGGTTAGCCTTTTCCCGATGGGGGCGCACTTTTGCAAGAGGACGTAGCGATTGAGGTTATCGGGCTCCAGACAAAGTTCGTCGTTCCGAAGCTGTCCCTTGTTGGTGAGCTCAAAATACTGAAATAGTCCAATATGAATTTGAATAATATTTACATCTATCCCTAAGGGATTGCTTTCAACTTACAGAAACAACCAACGGTGTAACTCTCTTGATTCAATGATGCAATGTCCCCCAAAGTCCTGGTGAATATTGAAGGATCTTGCAAGTGCAGGACAACTGCAGCGACGGCAACGTTAACAAAACCGACCAGGTTTTCTGTATAATCATACAGAAATGTCCCCAGTTGCCTTCAAGGTAGACAGCCAACTGACTGACCTTTTGAATTAATCTTCCACGGACGTTGAAAGATTGGTCTGACTATTGATGAAATTCACTATACAGTGTATTGGGATTTGCCCTTCACGTAAAAAGCAGTGCTGTCAGCGAGCTTTTCAAAGGTTAAGCCAAAAGTTAAAAGTGTGCTAGCCCAAAGGAAAGATTTCATCCGCAGTCGCTGTTACTGTTGTTACCGCTACTTCGGATATGATATTAGTTTACACAGGATCAGAATCGGCCAACGGACCCCAGGACGCTCGATTTGATTGAGCAACTCTAGCAAGATTGCCATTTTTTCCAGAAGCTTTGAATAACACTGAACGCAGCTACTAAAAACGCGTCAGCAGAGGAGCAAAGCCCAGTTTAAAAGTTCAGGCTACGTGCATGGCGTGTAGGTTATTTAAAGTTAACAATTTTTCTTCAGAGGCGCTATCCTCCTGTCATAGCTGGCTAACTGCAAGCAAACCCTTGTTCATCAAAAGCATTGCTCTGTCGATAACATTTATCCATCTGGGTCTAGATACCAGACAGACGAAAATTCCATTTCGATCGAACATGTGTCGCGAGCGATTTTGTAACGGTGGGGAATTGTAGACGAGTCTCTATACTGGGAAACAGTCGCTAGCTTGCGACTTCTAAATGTGCGTGAAGCACATGTTATTCCAGTCGCAGTAAAGTTATACCAATATTACATACTTCCTTGAATGAACTCTGACTCTTTGACCTCATCTTCCGTTGTGCTTACCTGGTTTCCTCCGAGTCCATGGCAACCCCACACGATCAACCTCTTCCCAGTCTGTCCATTCTGATCGTTTGAATCCAAACACACCCCGGACTTACTGGAAATCTAGGGGGGAAAACAGGTTCATGAGCAATTCTTAGGTGTATTGAGATATTTGATGGGAATTCCTATAAGGGCCGAGACCAAGGCTGTGTGCAACTCGGGTTGTTTGTGGCTCCTATAGCTAAATAAACAGCAATGCCTGCTCGGCACACAGCCTCAGCAGACACTGGTGGATTTTTCCATTTCATGTAAGCGGGATTCAGAATAGAGATGGGCTTGTTTCCGTTGATTTTGGTGCGCAAAGCCAGTTCGGTATTCCAACGGCAGCGCACGCTGACAGGATGTGCGTTCGAGGTCATTCGGACGCGCGTGCGAGGCCTGCCCTGTCGGGGGGTGGCCGTCCGCGGACTCGCGCGCGTGCTTTGTTCCCGAATGACCTCGCTCGTTTTTAAACACCGAGCTGGCTCCTTATTGGATCACTGGAGGTTTTCCAAGTTTTCAAAACCCTGTACCTATGCAAAATCCAACAGGATTCTATGCAATTTACACTCAACCTCGAGGTTTTGGGGTAGCTATCTGTAGAGACATGAGATTATGAGCCCCAAGCTGGACCAAGACAGAGCGTAAAAATGAACACTCCCGACCAACATGGACCCTTTCAACCGATGAAGGGGTGCTTCTGCTCAAGACAGATTATACTGAAGGCGCAACACATAGCTACTATAGTCGGCAGCAGTATTGGCGATAACATGCAGCCCGAGGAACCCTCGGATCACCACAGTACTTACCGCAGCAGAATACTTCTGCACCTCGTCCATGTCCGGCACGTACAGCTCCTGGTACACGTTCTTCAGGTACCACTCGAAGCTCTTGCAGCCGAGCTTTGCTCTCAGCTGCCGGCGCTTCCCTACGTCCCCAAAGTCTTTGCTCCGGAGGTGAGGAAGCCGGTTATAAAAGTGCTCCTTGTAATCGTCCGTCCATACCTTACAACACAAATCGTTTAAAAGCTTTGGAGGTATGCTGATGACAAACGACCTGCTGCTTGGATCGACCATTTTACGGAAGGAATCCATTTTTGAAAAGAAAATTAATTTGACTGATTAGATTTCCAACTTTCAGTTTTTATTATGCCGTCAAACACCTCTCTACTGGAGAACTTACTACGACATCCAGAGAATTAACGGAGGGAAAATCAATAAACTTCGTTCACCAGGTCTTTGAAGAATTGACCGAAAGTTCTTAGAATTATTACTAACAGGTGCCGTAAACACAAGTGTGCCGATAGAAGCGTTAATATGACACTCTTGGTTCCAGTCCAGACGCACCATTAACCATGCCATGCGGTCTTAATAGAGGGTCTCATTCATTGAACCTGGTAAAACAGTCAGTGTCAACGAAATCAGTTACCTCCACCACTCTCATAGCGTTCCTCTCGGCTACATCCATCGGTTTCTTGCCCAGGAAGGAATAGGGAGATCGGTTGCGGTAGATGTGACCCACGCGCGAGCAAGGGATGATCTCAATGCTGCCACCGCAGGTCCAGATCTGTCGGAGAGAAAAACAGTGAAGAGTGCGCGTGTGCTGCAAAAAACAAAACGGACGGTGTAGGATCCCAGATACGTAACAAGACAGAGCCGCACGCACTGATTATTGGCCAGTTTGAGTATAAAGGAAGTCGATGCCAAATCAAATTGCTGCCAGGTATTCGTCACGATCTGACTCACGAAGATTATAAATGCGTGAACTGCTTCACCGGGTCTTGATTTCAGTTCATGCATGGATTCCTGTAAAATAACAAGCTATAGAAAGTAACTTGTTTTTTTGGTTGAAAAAAAAACCTGATCCCAGAGACGAATTGAGTCCTTTCCACAGTCAAACCCGCCCCTCGGGTGCACGGACCTTTTCAAAGCCCACACAGAAAAATGCATTTGTTTTCAGTATCGAGCAATCCTGCGGGAGCTCAAAGAAAAAAGAAATAGTGGGTACGTATCACCTTCAGAGACTCCTCAAGATTCTCTCCGCCCCAGATTTCCATTCCGGGGTCGTAGCCGCCGAGTTTGATGAAGAATTCCTTGTCCATGGTGAGAAGACCACCCGGCATGGCCGGGGACCTGCGATTCGAAACACGAAACGAGCAGATTTAGCTGGAAATAACCCAACTTTGTGGACGTGAAAGTAAATTGCGATAGGTATTCGCGTAAAAATCACAGCTCAAAATAATAGGAGATGCATAACAATTTTGGAGATGTTTGCCAGACCAGCATGCATCTTATTATTAAAGAGGTCTTGGACCTTGCAGACCGTATCTGACTCCTGAGATATTGTCAATTCTAACCCCTCCCCCTGCTTATCAGACCAGGTACGCTCTCGTTGGCCGAGCAAGCTTGAAGTGATGTCACAGAATGACCAGCTTTGCCCTCAGAGATACTACCAAGCTACCAGGGTTAACTGACAGAAGGCATTGTTGGCGAAGTGGTTTATTCATAGACACACACCACAGTTGCCTACACTTATATAAGCATTCAATGCGGCTGTTTTACCCGATGCTAACTTTCCATGTGACTTTTTGAAGTTTAGCTCTGTAGAAGAATGTTCACAGGGAAGAGTGCATTTAAAGATTTACTCACTGTATGGGGTCTGCCTTGGACGAACGATAGGGATATCCGGGGTCTTCCACCCACCGGTACTGGAAGCGCCAATTAAATCCACCCCTCTGGAGTGGTTCAGGGACCACATGATACCTGAAGTCCTCCTGGCTGATTTCATCCACGACGGGCAAGACAACCCTGGTCCGGTCAGCGGCGACACGGGCAAGTAGGGGCTCCAACCAGCCAACCATAACCTGCAAAGCAATGCCGCATGAGAGTATGGCATGGAATACACTGATACATGCGGTAGCCTTTGTACATGTACGGGGAAATTATCAGTCTCGGTTGTTTTGTTTTGTTTTGTTTTGTTTGTTTGTTTGTTTTTGGTCTCAAAGGCGAAGAGAAGAGTACCTTCATAAGCAGTGGGCTGCGGGAACTTGTTTGTGAGTTTGCTGAATGACTGGTTTAAGGCTGGGAAATCTCGGTATATTGAAATAATCCGAGGATGTTTTTTCGGAAAACACAAAGCAGAACATTACAACTTTGTGCTACTTTTGGGTGGTGGATTGCTATAACCATTGTTGTGAAGCGATAAATTGTGTACAAGTGTCATTTAAGTAATTTCTCGTTGAGTTGACTGTTTGATTCACAAAGTAACACTTTCCAATGGGGTGGTTTTGATAGCGACGAGGCCTATAGCATGCAATTGGGTTAAAGTTCGGTTCGGTTGAGGTATTAGGCAAAAAAAATTAAAAAGTCCCTGGTTTCAGGTCAGAGGCTGACTCCAAAAGTGGTGCGGCGACAGGCTTTTTTTCCCACTCACTTTTTCCCCCCTAGAAATGATGTGGGTATAACGCGTGATGTCCATCGCGACTGCATGCGTAGCTACGTACCGCCACTACCAACACTGAAATAGACCAGCCCCCTCACTATTTACTATTTAAAAACGTTTTCAGCTGGTAGGTGTACGAAGGACATAAGACCACCTCGTTTCTCTGGTTCCCAGATATAAATGTATAATACAGAGGTGATGTCATCTGAAAAAAAAGAGTGCCCGACTAAATGTATGGGGGCCCAGAGGGACCCTTTATTGTATATACACGTATTACTCAACCGTGCGTCGTCTAAAACATGTTAAAATTATGCAGTAGCAGGATTCACTTTTTTTATTTTGCCAATGCGCAGGTCTACGGCGACGCGCGCACTGACCAGAAACCAGAGACCTTTTTCGACCTCCGAACAGTAACAAGAGCGCACTGTTGAAAACATATATCCAGCAAGAAATGAGACCGAGGGGTACCCCCCCCACATGTCCAATCGCTATACATACTATAGACTATTGTCATCTAACAGATGCCCCTAGATGTCTGTGAAAAAAAATTCCTCAGGTTCCAGTAAAATAATGACCAACACAAAGCAGGGGGGGTTCTCTCCGTCTCATATCTTGCTTCATTATGTGAAAACATTATGGAACAAAATCGCTTTGGTACAATCTGGGACATCTCTGGAGCCGAAGAGGGGTGTTTCCAGGGTGCAATCACCAAATGACCCCGAATCAGTTGGGGCTTCTTACTTCGACGTGTGAATCAAGGAAAGTGATGATCTCCCCTTTCATGGCGTCTACACCAAGCATGCGCGCTCGGATCAAGCCAACACGCTCCGGGGACCGAAGGAGACGAATCCGCACCTCATGAATCAGGGCAATGTAGTCCTCCAGGGGTTCCCTCAAGTGGTCTGGAAAATCCCAACCAAACCAAACAATCTCTAAATTTCCACGTGGAAAAAAATTATGCAGACACGGTTATAACATGTTTGTCCTGTTCCCCAGTCAACCCACGAGCAAAAGCAACAAAACTTCACATCATTGATAAAATGGAACAACCTTTTTTTTCCTTCCAGACTCATTTTAGTGACATTTCTTTGAATAGCAAAAGCAAGATAACTGCCCCAAGACGTAGGTCTATACCCTCTACACAGAGCAGTAATCTTGGAGATGTTAACAACGAATGAAACCAACGAAGACGGTAGCCAAGCAAAGGTCTACACTGCGGTATAAAAGTTATTTCCTTCGATAAAAATCCCACTAACTGCATGGCGTGGATCTGGTAATATTTCCTGTTCTACATTTACATCACAAAGATCTTTCTTAAAGCAAAGTCTTCTTCGTAGGTATTCCCTCTAAACTATAATTGCCTTCACTACCATCTAGTGTTTCATAAAAGAGGTTAAGGTCAAATAATAAAGTGACGACACGTACTTTTAATCATTAGAGGGTGAAATACTTAATTATACACCGTTTGTGAGACCGTAATTTTTCCACGCGGGAAAATCCTCAAAATCTGTCTAGCTTCCTAAAATGATTCTTCCTCGAAAATATTCTTAGATGTTTCAGAATCCTACCAAGATTGCTGGCATCGTCAATGAGGACGATTTCGTGAATCAGGCGTAGAGGCGACCTGTCCGTGATGCTGTGAATGGTGCGGAGGAGGGTAGACCACGCCTCGTTGTGGAAACAGATGATGATGCTGGTCTTCGGAAGGTCGTGCGGATATGTTTGCGTCTTACACCTGTAGGAAGGACTAAGGGAATTTAGCTCACCAAAGAAATGATCATCAAGTTGGGGGTATCTTGACTCATGTGTTGCTGTCACACAAATGACGACTGGGATTAACGGTTTTGTTGTACACCTGTGCCCCCCCCCGCGCGCTTCCACGAGACTTATAGTTTGTCGTTTAAAGATCAGTCACACTGGTAATTCACAGTTCCACTTTTATGAAATTTAGTTTTGAAACAATTTGTTATGTAATAACCTAAATAAAGATTGCTGCTGACGTCAAAAGCACGAGTTGAAGTTCTCCTTCATATCAGGCAAAATGAAAACGAAAGTTTTCGGGAGCGTCCTGTTTTGATGACGTCACACTACAGCTCTGCAATTATACGACTGTTTCATTATTTCGGGCCAAACGCGCCCGCGTGCGTGAGCGTCGTGCTTGCTCGAAATTAACCATAAGGGAATAAAAAGGGAAGAAATACGTGCTCGGCGGGTCTGCAACATTCGTTGAAACCGGCTCAGGAGACTGGACGCGACTAATGCGCGAGCCGCAGGCGAGGCCATTCTCGGTGTTCAGTTTAGCACACATTTATTCCCATTCATAAACACCATTTTAGTCAGAGAGTCAAAAGAAGTCAATATACACTGTATGATGAATTTCCTACAATTTTGTTCAGAATTTTACTGTCATTTTCCCGAGCACCAACGTCAATTTTATGGTTTATTCTTTTCGCAATTTGTCCAAAAGAATCTCCTTAAATGGACTTGGCGCACGTGTGGCGCGCCGCGTGCACAGAGACTCTTGACCAATCAGAATTGATTAAACTCTCTTGTATCCAGGTGCCAGCGCGTGATTTACGGAGCGGGCATTATCACCTCTCAACTGACATGTTAATACACGGTCGTTGCACATTGTTGAATAGAGGGACTGTCTGATGTATTAATGAATGTGAATTAAAAGAGATCGGACAATGACAGCGACTTGAATTTACTTTTAGATCCACAGAGTTGATCAGACAACTCTAGATGATGTCAACACTGTATCGTATGATAAAATTGGATCGTCTCAATTTGAACCGGAGTAGAGTCCTGATGAATTTCAAGCAGATAACCGCGGTCATTTGCAGACAGAGAATGACATCGTACTTACTCTACCCGCCATTACGACCGTAAGGTCAAGAAACTTTGGGCGAACAAGAGCCGTTTTATGACATCATCAAACCGCTCGATCTGTTTGCCGCCTTCATCGCCGCATATTTTTACTGTAAGCATTCTCGCGGGAACCGAGGAACCAAAATGGCGATTTTTTTTATCAATGGGAAGAGAAGCTGCCACGTTATTCATTATATACTGACCAATTTCCTGTTAAATAACCTTTTTGCATAAAAGCATTATGATCTTTATAATTAAACATAAAAAGGGTTGACACAAGAAGGTATACTCCGGTGTAGCATTTTAGTAATCCAGTTTCACATCCTAGCAGTGTACAACCGTTTTCGACAAATCTTGGGAGTTCCTTAATTATTTTATGACATTTCTTTTCGTTATCATTTTGAGATTTCTTCCACTAATACATGTATGCTGCTGTGAGTGCCATTTCCGTATAGGCAAATACTTATCAAATTGAAACTTACGCAGGGAATCTTGCATCAGGAAGCGTCCTGTGTAGCGACATCTTGGAGCTTGCTAACTCGTTGAAGGCGTGGCTCTTCTTTCCAGCTTCCAACCGCATGTTCTCCGACGCCGACAGGCCGACAATTTTCACGGCCTCCCCCATCATCCCTGGGCCGCTACGGTCAACCTCACGCGCGTTCTCAAAGTAAGGGGATTCCTCCTCGTCGTCGTCGAGAACATCCCCCACGCCATCCTTCACCATCTTGTCATTTTGCTCGGCCGGAAGCTCTTCTCCATCGACGTCATCTTTTACGTACTCAACATTTTGCCTGACCGGCACATCCTTAAACTTATCAGCCGGTTCACGATGGTTCAATTCCTTCTTCAGACCAGCCCTCATTTTACCTTGCTGAAAGGCGGCATCAGCTTTTCCTCTCATCAATCTTTCATTCCCTTGCAGCATTTCCTGCAGAGAATTGTCCCCCTCCCGGTTTCTGTTCAGCGCTTCTTGTCCCGGATTCGCCTGGGCTTGGTTGGAGTGCCCATGATTCGATTTCAGATCACGTCCTAAACTCGTTTGATCCTGGGCTAGCTTGTTTAAGTGTTTATACCTCTCGTCGGCGGTGTGATCAAGGACGAAGTGGTGGAAGACAAACATGATGTTAACTGCTAAGCAGATGAAGGCCAGGAGATACAGCATGCAAAGAGAATTTCTTGGTCTACAGGTACACATCTTACTGTTTGAGCTGCAAAAAAAGGAAAGCAAAGTCAAATCTTTCACATGTACGTTCTTAAAACTGCAACGACGTGTATAGGCCTGCATCGTGCAGCTGTCATTATCACGTAGACTAAATCCATCATTCAAACCTTGAACGACGTGTAAATTAACACGTCTGAACAGACAACGATGGTCGCTTTTTAATGGAAAACATGAATCAAAAACGTTTTACAGCATCATTTGAATAGAAAACGAATGGTTATTTGTCGAGGAATTATGAAAATTGGAAATATGCCTTTGACAACAGCGAAGACATTATCGTAGACAGGTTAGTTTAAGCCTAAATCTACAGAATTTATCAACATATTTAGATAACTGGCTCGCATGATCATAAAATAACAAATCTGGACGATTACTTTTTGAAATTTAATAACTTTTGCTTAAATTCACCGATCCCAACAAATGTCACAAGGAAACCGTATCTTTGAGCACAGAATATCATCTTTGGTACATTTTGTACATTGAATAATTCAAGAATGAACTATATGTGGGTAGCTGATTTACGTAGGCCTACCTTGGTGACTGTGGTTCCAACCAGATCTCTGCTAGGTATCGTACGAACTGAAATGAGCGATGCAACAGCTGCAACGCGCGCGGCGGTGAACGCCCCACATGGCGCCGTAACAATAATCGATTACGTTGTGTTTAATAGTAGCCAACCCGAGGACGGCACAGCACAGATTTGCCACCCAAGCGGCGAATAATTAGCTAGAGTTAATCGATATGTCTATAACTGTTTTAATGCACCACGCAAGACAACGTGTTATATTCACAGAAATCAAAATAAATACTTACCAACACCATGGTCATTTAGTCTGGTCATCATTTTTTTTTCTAATCGTCATCATCCCAAAGGATTATTACAGTATTTCTCTGTACTGGTATTAACACACAGAGTGGGAACAATAGAGTAAATTGACGATGCAATGCAGTGATGACATACATATCAATACAAACAGCATCCACATTATAAGCTAAAACAGCTAATTCTTCGAAACAAACCTTTGACTCTCAATCTTGCTAATAAATGAGTAATAATAAATAACACAAACACAACAATAATTGTTACCTATAAATAGCCTTGGTAGAGCTACATCGAAATTTATGCATATTGAGCTGTTAAATATGCTCGGGGCATGTGCCAAGCTCGGATTCGTTCGTTTACACACAGCTACATGTAGTTTCGTCTGGTTTTTACAGTACTACTAATTAACATGCCAGAAGTCGAGCCTGGACTTGCTAGCGTACTCCGAGTGCTTACTTTTACCAGCAGTGTTGGTTCCCCCGTTTTGAGGCTATCATGAATACATGTATTACAAGAAAAGTCTGATTATGTATTTCAATGTTCTCAAGCTTTCTAGCCACTTGGTGAAGGTGATTATCTATTTCTATTCATCAGAGTCGCTTCGTAGTTCACAAGACTTTGTCTGAAACCGTCGTTCGGCCTGATGGCGGGTCGCAATCCCTTCAATTCTTCAAACACGGCTTGGAAAGACGCTCCTTCTTTGGACATAATGTACCCAATGACGATAGAGGGCGCGCGAGAAACGCCGGCGTTGCAATGAACCAGCGCCTTTCCTTTATCTCTTGCGCTGTCAATGAATTCAAAACATTCCTCGAAATGCCTGCCAGATATACAAGACGTGAAGGATATGCTTGTTCCAAGATAATCCTTTTCTCCTTTTAGCATCTACATGTACATGTATTCATTCAATTGTCAAGGTATATCAGGAAGTAAAAAATTTAAATCGAGGGCTCAAAGGAATACAATCCAAACAATTACAACAATTAATTACTGCAAACCCCGCGCCAATATCTCTAAACCAAAGAATTCTTTTCATTCCTCGTCGTGCGTTTGTATTTTCTCTTAAACTTACCCTGTAATCTCCACTCCAGGCAGGTCCAAAATCTCCACAGTTTTGTAGATGAAGTTGTCCGGGAAGACATTGCTGATGCCGGTTGCGACGTTCAAGATGTGAGTCACTTTGTATTGATTTAACAATTCAAGGTTGGTTGCAACATCCTGAGAACCTGCCCATGAAAACACAACACGTTTATATTCCTAAAATAAATACGTGTGGGTTCAACACAGACGGTTAATTTGTGGTGTGGATTCCTTGTATCTGTATTCGCACCAATTCTGGCATGAACCAAACGGAGGATTATTGTTTTCTCTTTCACGAAAAACAAATCGAGGAAATTCAGAGCAAAACAATCCTCCAGCTAAACAATGAAAAATCCATAAGAAAAACATGACAACCAATATAGACAATTTTCTGATTTTTTTGTTTTAAACTCTAATCTTTGCAATAAAGATTTTCAATACACGTACATGCCAACAATGTTTAATATCGAGATGAAAGGTTTTTAGGTAAAACATGTATTTTAGTGCTCGCAGAGTAGAGGCCTTTTCAAAACTGCCCGAAATTCAGACATAAACTTATTCCATCATTACAATGGACATTTAGGTCAAAATTTAGAAACAACCCCCAAAGGCATTACTATGAAATAAAATGGAAAAAGTGATAAGTATTTCTATTGTCTGTTTCAGACTTTAACATGCCAGCATGCAAACCAGGAGGAATTTTACTACCTGTGTAGCTTTTTTTTAATGTTTGAAAGACATTTGCGTTAAGTAAGACCTGAAGACAGACATCTATTTGGAATCTTGATTAGCTTATGTTCTTGTCAACAGCATGATTTCGTGTGTAGTCGCCTGGCACTCAGCTTTCATCAACTTACCAAAGAGAAGGCCAGGTCTAACTTCAACAACTTGAAAGTCTGGTTTCACATCGCCCACGAATCCAAAGCTTTTTCCTTCGACTGGTCTCTGGGTGAAACTCCCGTCGACTCTGGTCTCGACAAGAATATGGCCTCCCGGAGTGGTGACTTGGGTCTCCACTTGCTTAAGAGCACTTCGAGGAAATGAAGCAATATCCTCAAGAAAACTCATTTTGTCATCGCTTACGACAACAAGAGTATCGATTGGGTGACAATTAACGGAAGGTCTGTGAGTAACTAAAAATCACAAAATGCATTAAGACTCGGCTCAGTTCCACAGATCGCAGAACCGTTGAACAGGCACCAAGATGCCGTCAGTCATCAATGGCAAAAGCGTAACTTACATGTACATGCATGTACATGTACTTGTACATCATGTACTACGCGGCCAGCACGGCCAGGAAGTCCACCTGGCCAGTGCCGGCAGCAGTAGATGCAGCCGACGCTGACTATGATCTACACACTGCTACATAGTGTTGGAGTGAGTTGTACAAAGTCAACTAGTGACAGTCAGTACAACATTTGAGATCCAGACGGTGCACTCAGTCACTGACACGCTGCTGGCAGCTCCATATGCTGGTTACGTACCGGATCTTTGACATCACGCATATCCCAGACGTGCATGGGCGCTGCCATATTAGGCTCTTTCGGTGTATGTAATAAATGCATGCAAGAGAGAACCTATGAACTGCTTTGTGCTAAATCACTTCCGAATACTGAAGAAAATGGTACATATCTTTTTCTATATGTATATTTTGATAAAATTGGCTCCCAACAAGCATTAAATCGTTGATTTTTTTGCACATTTGTTTGACACACTAAATTCGCGTCAACGTGTGAGGGCGCTGCAAAGGTACATCCAAGATGTCTGCGCCCAGTCCGAAACCAACTCGTCCAAGAAGTGCAAGAATAAGAAGAGCAACTAGTCCAGCTTCTGCACCAGTTGCTCCCAAAAGGAAGAAGAGTGTACGTTACCAGGTGCAACAGCCTGATGAGTTTTGGTTTTCTTTGATTGGTCGTTATATTCATGAAGAACTAGGCCTAAATGTGCTGTGTTGAAAATTTGACATGCCTGTCAATCAACCATATTGACATGGCTGAAAGAACGCTGTGGCTATCTCACGCCAGTCAGGTGCGTTGGAAACAAGAACTAGACCAATCTACAGCGAATGTATCCGGGACTTCATTTCCCTTTAAAAGGAAAATCCTCCCGTGGTATGAATCCACCAGACATGCCAGAAGAGAAAAGAAAAATATACAGGCCCAGGGCCTAGGCCTAAAGAAAGTAAACATGGGATTCAAGTGAGAAAAAAAAGAAAATTAAGAAGGTAAACAAACTGACAAATAGGGGTTCTACTTTGCTGTTTCAGCTTGTTAATGTAACCAAAAAAAGTCAGTTTCAAAGTCTGATTGTCTAGCCTTTGACAGAAACAAAGACTGAAACAGAGGCAGCGGAGCCTGCAGCAGCACCTGTAGAAACACCTGCAGCTGCTTCAGCTCTAGAGGTTCTACCACAGCAAGCAACAGCAACAACACCACAGACTGCAGACGCTGCTTTAGTGTCCCAGCGTCCAGCGCTGCCTTTCAAAGATCCCAATTTCACGGTAAGCTACATTATATGCACAAATTCAGTCTCCTGCTAGACTACTGGTGGCTATTTAAGTCCAAAAACTACTGTACTAAAAAAGTTGTGAGCCCCCATGTCAGCTGTGTACATTTAGATCTGCAGCCTCTCCTGCACCAGTAGTCACAACATTTACATGTACATGTATACACCTTTAACCCTGGAAGAGCCAGGTTAGTTTGGCCTATCTTGCAGCCGAGAAGGGTCGCATTCCATCCCCCTGAGAACTCGGCCATGCCACACTCAGTTTTTTTAAAGTTGGCATGCATGTAAAGACTCTCCTTATTACAATATAAAGTTTGAACTTGATCAGACATGGTATTGTTGTAATGGTCATTTAAAGTTAAAGGCTACGCACCTGCCAATAGACAGTTTTGCTGCAAGTACATGTATACATTTTGGCTGACCTCTCTTGGAAAAATTAGCACTGGTGCTGTGCAAGAATGGTATGTTCGTTTTTCACAAAGTTTGTGCTAAAATGACATCAAAAGGTACTCTAACTACTCCTTAAGGTTCCTACAAAACATACTGCAGTGATATCGGAAGAAGTGTGTATCGGGTCAGTGGATTCTGCCCCCCCCCTGCTTTTTTAGTGTTAAATTCCTCAACCAATGTAGTTGCCATTTTGTTCATTTCCAAGCATGCGCTTGACTCCTTGACTTAGTAAAGTTGACATCTTGTTAATGGAATGGGTGTAAATTGTAAAAAGTATTAGAAAATGAGTCAGGTTATACTTGAAGTCACACAAATCACACTCTGATAACAGACTGGTCACTTTATTTCATTTCTCAAGCTTAAGATATCAGAACATGATAAAAAAGTTTGCAGATTATTTTTTTTATATCCCAGCACTCTAGCAGAGGAGTGGCAGCCAGCAAGAAGTCGCGAGTGTGGAAGACACTCAAACAAATAACTTCGGCCGAGAGGGCATTGCCATGGAAACCAGATGATGCTACATGTAAGCATCTCAATCTAAGTGATGAATTTCTCAACTTTGCCAGAAGAGAGCCATCAATGTTTTCATGTTAAAACTCTAAATTAATCGTTACCGTGCCAGCTTCAGCACAGTAGAAAAGGTGGGAATGTCTGGTTCACTCTCATGCACTGGGCAAGCAACAGCAGCCTGTGCTGTGTTTAGAGATTGGGAGGTAACCCCATAAAATAGTTGGATTTTACAATGTATAATGCCCCACCACAGATTTTGTATCTTGATTGGCCAAAAGTGTGTCATGTGATGCTTGCTAGTTTTACTATTTTTGCACTGTCACTCCCAAAAGACCATGCATATGCAGCCTCTCTCTTAACAAGAATCACACCCCTAGCAACCGAAGAATTATATCTGTACCAACGAAACTATGAATAGCACCCGTGTCTTTCGGCTCATAGCGTAAGCCTTTATTTCTCACTCTCGAACCCGTTGAGCCAGGCTACGTACTAACGATAAATTTAATAGGTTAAGAGAACGAAGATGCAAATAGGTGCCCTTTTAAAGGCTGGTCTGTCACGTCGGGTATGTTGTTGGTACGAACATTCTAATGTCGCACGTGATTTGCAAAACGGAACACAAGACAATTTGCTCTGTGGTGTTTCATTATCGACTGCTTGATCTCTTGGTATAGTAAAACTAGTCCCCCTCTGTGATCCATGAAGAATTCAAGATCCAGAAAAAAAGAATGCTCCATGGATCACTGTGTGAGGCTAATTTTACTGTACCACTAGAAGCAGTCAATATTTGTATACCGTATTGGCTGTCAACCTCAGGCTTTTATCCTCGAGAAAAGTTGACCTGTTGGATCGTGTAGCTATTTGCAGGCATGAGACTTTGACAAATAATGCAAATTGATGCCTCTGAAAGACTTAATAGCTCTGGAAGAGCAGGGCAAATAGCTCCGTTTTCAACAGCAAAATTAATGAAATGCTACTTCTGTGTTTGTACAGATAGCAGTATTGATGCTCCACCTTCCATCAAACCGGCCAAGAAGTACTCAGATCTTTCTGGATTCCCAGTAAGCTCCCTCTGCTCAGCCTCCTCCACACTTCACAACAAAAAATTATTATGATTTCTGACTTTTGCCCTTGTGTTGGATAGTAGTAATATCCAGCCCTCACTGAATGTAGAAATTATTAAGTGTCTGATTTCAGCATTCCTTCTACTCACCGTGCTTTAGAAATGCTCATTTTCCCACAAAGCACAGTAAGTTTGTACTCGACCAAGAAATGGTCACTTTTTCCAACATCCCAGTTAAAGTGCCCGGCTGGCTTGGCAAGAAAAGCCATTGTTATGTATTCTGTTGCTCATGGACAAAAACACAGAATGGAGTCAAACATGATATGCATGTGTAATTATTCTAAATCCATCAAACGTATTATTGACAACCAATCACTCTTTATCGGTTTCCTTTCCTCTTTTGTTGTTTTTAAAAATTTACAGGCAAAGTACACAGATCCTCAGACAAAGTTGCGCTATGCAGACGCTGAAGAATTTTCGAGAGCGCGAATGCTGCCGGCAGATATCGTCACTGGGCTGTTGACTCTGAGGAAGGCTAACCCAGAATTGCAGTGACCTGTTACTTACTTTGAACCAATTTGAGCACTTCTCCTGTTATTGGATGGATATTTGGGGCTGTCAGACTAGAGTGGCCAACCATAGCTCTACTGTAGCCGGCATATAGCCCCTGACTGTAAGAAGAAAGGATCCTCCGCAGGTCTATCCTACCTGTATGTTGGAAGTGCTCATGCAGCAGTCGACCGTAAAGCCATCTTTTGGCAGATGGTTTTTCGGGGATAATTGAAACTCCAGCGTGCACTTTTCATGTTGTACATGTTTATGAAACTTCAAGAACGTGTCTCAGTAAAGCATCCCTCGATGGGGTAACTGCTTGTTGAGTGAATCAACGAAACCATGAGATCCTGATGGGCCTTAGATAGACATTATGCCCGTCAAGAATCACACAGTGGCGAGTGGGGCATGTGGCTTAGTGGTTCGGGTTTGTGACTGTAGATCATGAGGGTCGATGGTTCGAATCCAGCAGCGGGTAACATGCTGTGACCTCGGGCAAGTCACTTTACTCCTCCACCCGGGAGTATCAAAAGATAGCCCTGAAAAGGGTAGAGGCCGGATCTGATATAGGCTGTCAATATTGGTTGCCTAGGATACCTTGTGAAAATATGAAGACGATTTTCGACAAACACTGCTACAATTCTCGTTTCCTTAATTTCGTCAGTGTTAGCATAAGACTGGGGAATATCTTGTTTCAGAAATAATTTTTAAGTATGTATGCTTGAACAGGTGGTTTTTAGTAATTCGTATATGCAGTTCAGTGTTTAAAACACTCCAAGGCACAAGTTACCCAAGAAAAGAGGACCCTCAAATATGTGTCTATACAAAACTATGTACAAAACTACATCAGTCATCGGAAGACAGGCCCCTGCTAGGCTTCTCCAGTCTGGCTAAATCCTGACCTAAACAGCATACCGCTGTGTAGGACGTGTACATACCTTTCCGACAATTTAAAGTAAAAGAGTAATAAATTTTACACTTGCAAAGACTATGAGTGCATGTATTGCAGAAGTAATTGGAGTTTAATCAGAAGTCATGCATATTCCATTCGCCCGGAGCTAATGTTATACAAGCTGTGACTCGTCAGCAAATTCATTTCTCTCGGCAGTGGTATTAGTGATATCCACCTGCTATGTGAAAGCTTGGTAAAAGTCGAAGTCATTGGGGGAGTCAACTGGGCCATGCAGCTTAAGTTTGAACCTCTCTGCAAATGAGAGAAGAAATCGAGTCAACTTTCATATTCAAGACCCAGCCACCAGTAGTCTTTCTCAGTTGGTTCGAACAAGTCTAACCTCGTGCTCAAACCACAGAGCAAGGAACAGACATATACATGTAATGACACCCGACATGCACGCGCAGGGGCCGATGTGATCACCCTGCAGCTCAAATCTGATTACTGAATCCTGACTAGCGCAGGCAGCCCCCGTCAGAAGCGTTTAGTTCGGGTGGCCTGGGCCATCTCGTGCAGGGTCTGTTCTGGCGGTGGGATTTGGCGGTGGACTTTATCGACGGCCCAACAGCTTGCTTCATTTCCTTGGCTGCTCCCCGCTGATCAGATGCTCATTATAGTGAACTCGATTTTTTTTCCTTGGGGAAGAGGCCAGAGTTCGAAAGAATACTAGACGTACCGTCAGGCATATTGTGCACATAGACCATCGTAGTTCAGAGTTCAACTGTTTGTTCAAGCTTCAAGGAGCAATGGGGAATGTGGCAACAGACCTGGGGTGCGTTTTCCAAGCTTAGTGTCTGTTGAATTTCCTTCCTTTTATTCCGATGAAAAGTTTGAATATACTTTTAATCATCTGTTTCCGTCGAAGAAATTCAAGTCCCCATAAACGTCACAACCAGTGACGTCCAGTATCCATTTTTTCCCTGACGAAGACTGGAAACAAAACCTCGTCATCAAGTTCAGACACTCGTTTTCACTTCTAATCAGTTACCGTCTTTTTTTACAAATCGTAAGCTTTCTGGAGCTTCTTTTATTAAAGCTTTCTCGGTACAAAACATGGAGTCGACGTACTTAACCATTGCGGATAAATATGTACTTGCGTGTTGAGGCATGGTTGAGGCTACCTTGAGGTTATTCCCCTCCGCCGCGTTCGATGGCGGTTGCCGGATTACTAGATACAAACTCGTCACTTTCTGTAAAATCTGACCTGCTTGGGTGATTCAGCCTTCATTTCTCAAACCACTCCTCTTTCCGCGACGATGGATTTTTTTCCGTTGAGGGGAAATTATGCAATCTGTTTGAGGCCGGACTTGTCCTTATGACTTCCGGCTATCCTCAGCAAACCGATTACGCTGGGAACCGACTCCACGCTCCCTTGACATCCCGTCGCACTGATGGCATCATGTGATTTCGCGTACAACAGTCCCTCACGGAGGAAGTCCCTATAGACGCCGGGGAATAAGTGCAGTTGCGCAGCGCGCGGTGTCTCCATTCCATATGGGGTAGGCCAATGCAAGGCTGGGACGGTGCCGCCCGGCTGCAAAAACTGGAGCAGAGCATGCAGCGCTCATGCCTTGGCCCGTGCACGTGACTGCGGGGAGCGCAACCCAACAACGCGCAGCTCTCCGCACAATGGTCCAATCTTGAGCTGATGTCAGATACAAACTACACGGTCGAGGGGCAGTGCTACTGAAAACATTAAGGGAACAGCGAGGCGCACATCCAGGTTAAACCACAGCTCGTGAAGAAGATGAGGAGGAAATGGCTCCACTGTTCCTGCATCAACCTTCTTCTGTTCATCCCCATCTGCTGGGTACCCCTCCTCCTTTACCTGCGCCTCGGCTCTCAAACTGGAGGTGAAGCAAATCTGCGTCTCGTTGGTTTCAAAACCAGGGACGGGTTCTCTCCTTTGAACGAGGCCCGGCGCGTTGGTATACACGCAGGCAGAGGCGGTGGTGCTCGCAGACACAATGCAAAGTCACTCGGGAGTATTCCGGAGAGTATCGCGGGCAAGATCGGACCCCTCGTTGGGCGTGATTTCCACCGAGCAGACGACGCCGATACAAAGTGGCGGGAATTGGACTTGGCCAAAGGGAAAGATATGCATGGCAACGAGCCAGATGTGGTGAGGCTCACAGTAAGCAGGAAATTAAGGCGAAAGCCGGAAAACTTGGAGAACGAGAATGTCAGAAAATCTTATTCAACCAGAACGTTTGGATCGCCTGAAAAAAATGGTACTTTGGAATTGCATTTGCTTGGCGAAAAACGTGGACATTTAACAGGTAAGGAAAATGCAAAAAATAAAGTTTTTCCACGACAGTAGGCCCTAGTACTTGTTTCGGGCTGTCGTGGTATACCAAATTTGCGCACCGTATGCCTAACATCGAGTTCTGTGAGCGCACTCGATGAGAACTGACGGTCTGTTTTTTTAATTAGAAGACGCCGATCAAAATGGTACTTGACCCCAAAGTGTTATCGCATTTTCAAGCGGTTAATGGCATAGGGCCTATATCAACAGCTCTGTGCCTTACAATAAACTTCAATTAAAATGTAGGCTAAGGAGGTTTAGTTTTGCGTCATTCTACAGAGTGGGATTAGCATCAGGTCAAGAATATAGGCTGTAAAATGAAGGTAGCCCCCAAGTTAGTGGGATCCTCCGTTAATATTGAGTAACATTTTGTTCAGGATTGTTTCTTTAAATCTCTATAATGACAGCTGCGACACAACTTAAAAAAGTAGTACCTCTCGGAAGTTTGTGTTTATTTTTCCAGACATATTTCAGTGTGGTGTTCATTCCATGAGCCTGCCGGGTCAGGGGTTGTAGAACAGGAGCGTTCGGTGGGTTCGTGGGCTTGTTCCACATATTGCACCGGCCAACTGTCAGTGCAAGACAAGGCATATTTTTGTCGTAACAACCTCGAGAACTCTGTCCTTGAGTGCGTGCCCCTTCATCCTCATGCATGCACCGGGGGCGACAGCTCGTGGTCCGATGCGATTGCTGGGTATTTGGGCTTTCACGGAGGATTAAAATAAAGCCTTGGTGAAAAACACGCAAGAATACTTTGAACTATGGTAAGCCAGTGTGGACTAGGTTAGCAGTGTGATTTAATGGCAGACCCGGGAGGGAAAGGGGCACGGGAGCCTACCCCCCCCCCCCCCAGGAGGTTTCTCTTTCGAAGTATAATAATCACTCAGGGCAACCTGATTACACAGTGTCACTTTCCTTCTTTTTCAAATTCTTACATTTAGCCTTGACCCTCAGAAATGTCATGAAAGGTTACAAAAAGAAATTTCCAGATTTTTTTATCCCCCTCCATCCAAAAAGGACAATCCCCCCATTTGGCATCGACCCAACCTTGATGTGATTCAATGGAAAGAGTTTTAACTAGTGAGTTACACGAGATTTAATCTTCTACAGTACACTCTTACTCGGAGCTACAGGAATTCGGGACTCAAGCTACAACACCCTGGTTTAAAATGGTCAACAAAATATAATCGTGAATCCCGCAACTGACTTTGAGCAACACTTGATAAATATTCAGGAAAAAATGCCCCAGATACGGGCACTGGACACAGTTGATCGACGTATAAAGCTTCATTTCTTTTGAGCACGTATCCCCTTTTCTCTGTAGTGTTAGCTAAACAAATAGAGTCCGCGTTTGTGGCTCGAAGTAACAATCTATAAACATTGAATGCCTGTATCATGTGCAGATGCGGAAAAGATTCCCCTCAGTGTCTATGGCAACGGGACTTTACCATTTCGGCAAACAGGGTATAGATGGCGAGATGATGGGCCTGGAGAATCGGGTAAACCGGTTTATCTGTCACCGAAAGAGCAGCAAGTGGCAAATGCTACCTTTAGCATCAACCAGTTTAACCTTTTGGTTAGTCATCAGATCGCCCTAAACCGTACGTTACCAGACGTTAGACCTCCCAGGTGAGTGCTTCCTTTCATGCCCACATGCGAGTGTGCAGTGTCGTGTACAACGTCAGTGCAGAAGTCTTCACGGACTCCAGTGTCAATACTTAGCATTACTTTTGACTACGCCAAATGATACACAACCTCAAGCACGATTTTGACGATTATGGTGGTCCTGAAGGGGCATGAAACATAGCAAGTATTTCTACAAAATTAATTTGAGAAAATTTTTTGCAATGTCGCAAATTCTATAGGCGAATATATGTCGTAATTGTGTTATGGCAAAATATTTCTGCAAAAATGTTGAATATTTTGTCGCATATCTTGTCGAATCGTTTTTGCATAGACTCCATATTTATTCCGGGCGACTAATTTTCCAGAAGCTGTCCGCTCCGAGCGGAACAAAAGAGGGATTTTTTTTTAATTACCGCATAGGCGCGCCATGAGGCATGTAAGTATATGCACTTTTGACGCGGAGCACGCCGAGTACGCGTAACTAATTTATACGGCCGTTTCACAGTAGTGCGCGAAGAGTTTGCAACGAGATGACAAATCACAATGCGCGAAATCTGTCAACCAAGTGCGCGTTTGAAAAGTGTCGACAGATTTTGCACGTTGTGGTTGGCCAGCGCATTGCAAACTCTTGGTGGCGCACTATTGTGAAACGGCTGTATAAATTAGTTACGCTTACCCAGCGTGCTCCGCGTCAAACGCGATTGATTGCTATGTGTGATGTCCCTTCGGGGCCACCATAGAATCTAAAAAGACAGAGTTACGTCGTGTCACCCTCTGATTTCAGTAGTGGAAATTCGAACTAAAATCTTTAGGATGAAGGGCTAGCCTAGAGGGTTGACATATTTTTGTCCAGTGCTAAATTAATCTGTTACGCACCAAATGTCAGAGTCTTCAGACTGCAGATTATCTTCAAAGTAGCTTTTCATCATCTGAGTTTTGAGGATTGAAGTGTCAGTGTTTGTTTTTTTTAAGATGCCGCATTTTAAGGTACCCAAAGAATCTACCCACGACCAGTGTTATCATCGTGTTTCACAACGAGGCCTGGAGCACGTTGCTTCGCACCGTCACCAGCGTCATCAACCGGTCCTCCCGGGAGCTGGTGAAGGAAATCGTTCTGGTGGATGATGCCAGCGAACCCAAGTTCGGTGAGTGGGAAGATGCACAGATTTTGAGTACCTGAGACCTACACGTGGGAATCTAAGAAGAAGTTTACCTCACGTGCTTATGGTGTGCGTGCAGGGAGGTGTCAAAATCGAAGATGGATTAAAGCAGGTGAACTTGGGAAATTGACCCTACAGTGGATCGGAGTCACTGCAGGACTGCTCCCCTTTGTTTCCTCCATCGTCGCCCCCGCTCACAGAATTGTGAGGAGATGAAAGCAATTTTGCAAAAGTTTGTCCAAAGTACGCAAAGGTTTGCTTTAGAAAAGTTGCCCCGAGTTCCCCTAAGCAACTGATCACTAATGAGTCGATTGTCTGCACCTCTTTCGTCACTTTTTCCGCCGCACCCCACCCTGGTCCGGTTCGTACGGTCGCTATACATGTATATACCCTATATACACAGTTATACAGTTACTCATTTGTTATCCAGTGCTTCTGGACACTATTATGGATGGTGAACGTACTGTGTAACTCTTTCTCATATGACTTGCGTGACACGTATATTTACAAAAGCAGCGGTTTCTCGTGAATTCAATAAATAGGGGGCCCAGAAATGAAAGCCATTCTTGTCCCAGTCGGAGACTTCTGCGTTAGTGCAGCATCATGTGTTTGCTGCGCAGAACTGATGACCACGTTGGCTGGTTTCCATGTCATTTTTTCCCCAACGAATATTGTTGTCATTGACAAAATTGTTGACAGGTACAAGGACCAGACTGACTACAAACACGTTAGTTTTGAAGCAGATAAAGCACAGCTCAGTCGAGCTGATCTTTCAGTTCAGTAAAACTCAAACGACTGTTGAAAAATAACACAGTTTTTTACAGTGGAATGCCACTCAGTAACAAACACCGCTGTACCGAACATTTGGAAATACTGAACATCTCCCTTGGCTCCCGAATACAGGTGTTTCACAATAGTGCCGCGTGCGCCTCCAAGAGTTTGCAACGCGATGACCATTCATATGCGCGAAATTTGTCGACCCAATGCACGTTTGTGATTGCAAACTGTAGGAGGCGCACTATTGTGGATCTCCCGTATTTCTAGTGTATTTTACCGAACATAAAAGAAATATGGAATCGATGATAATAATTCATAAGTTGCCATGTTACCTTTTTCTCTCAATTCTACACGTAGATTGGCTGCAAAAACCGCTCGAGAAGTACGTAGCCGGTCTCCCGGTCTCTGTCAAGGTGGAGCGTCTGAAATCGCGGCAAGGAATAGTGGCGGCCCGTCATCTGGGCGTGTCTGTGTCCAAGGGGGAGGTGCTGACATTTCTGGATTCACACTGCGAATGCACCAAGGGTTGGTTGGAACCGTTGCTGGAGAGGATTGCAAGAGACAGGTAAACTGCTCAGTCGCACTACCAACTACGGTGTACCGAATGGTCGGTCCATAGTCCATGGCCCAATTTCATGGCACTGCTGAGCGCACGATTGTACTTTAACAGAGGCTCCAAGTATTTCAGAAAGACCGTAAGCAGGAAGCACGGGAAAAAGGCACGCTTACCGTACTTTGGAGGAAAAAAGTCGCTTAACGTTGTGACAAAACTACGAGACTGTCTATGCGCTCGCAATCATAGCCTATGCAGAATCACACCAAGCAAAACCATGAGATAATGTTTAAAGTTAGCAAAGTTTTCCGGTAGAATATGGGTAAACACGAATTTTCTATCAACTGTTATAAGCTGTGCCATGAAACTGGGCCCAGGGTCGATGTCTGATGTTTCATCGGATGGGCGGGTGGCTGGTCGGCTTATTGTATGCTAAGCTGGCTGATTGGCCGGTTTTCTAGTATATAGGCAATGGCCAATCTCACAAAAGGTACCAAGTTTTGCTTTAAGGACAGCACTGGTCCAAAACAGAAAATGCAATGTTGGCCTGGACCCCCCAAAATTCTACCTTCAAGCCAAGTAGCCCCAAGCATCCAAGAAAATGTGCCCTTTACATGTTCATTTTTCATGGAAATTAGTTCGCAAGTTTAATGCAGAGATTGAAGGAATTTGCTTGTAACTGTGCATATTTTAGTATTCGCTTAAGTAACACGGCTTTTAGAGTGATCATCATATACGTCAACACCAGCCTGGCACCATCGTAATAGCTACCTGCTTGCTTCACCGATCGGCAGCTGGGAAAATATCCTAACGAAAACAAACAGGAGACTTTACTTTTCCAACTTTTTTTTTCCTAAGCACGGTGTTTACTGGCCGGGGCACGGAACTTGATCGAGTAAAATGCACATGCAAACTTGGTAGGAGGTACGGTAGTCGTGCTGTTTTGTATACAAATGGGCGGATCTGGTTTATATGCGATCATTAAGGAAGTTCTCGTGCACAAGAAAGATGCCAATCTCTGCTTTTTTGGCAATCATAATGGGCGTACGGTCAACGAATGATTGTCATTCGGCAACCTCGGTTCACAGTACTGCATGCAAATGGTGACGCGGCGAGGACACGGCGTCGTGAGGCAGACTGCAGGAACTCCAGAGGTGGAGGATCCCTTTCCGTCTATCCTTGTACTATGTTTAGCCATAAATGGCTTTGCCCCTGGACTTGCGACTCTGTCTCACAAATAAATTGTTTTTGGTCTCAAAAAAATAGGAGGGTTGTTTTCCAGGCCATTGGAGAAAGTAGTTGCAGCCCACGTGAAATATTTATATTGGCTTCCGAATATGTAACCAGTTCGGAATTAATGGTCTTGCCCAACCGTTGAAACATTGAAGACCAGTCTCTAGAAACTGTGACTCACATTAACCAGCGTTTCCCTCCCTTGCAACTCGTGGCGATTTTCCCCAGGTACCTCGATTCGTCGTTGAGGCTTGACTCAAGTCATGTACTTTGTTTTTTTTAAATTTGGCTGTTTTGCCGAACACCACCGACGGTAGGCCGGATAGTATCCAATATGGCTTGGAGCGAAACCATCACTATTGATTTGATCAGATTGCATGAAAAAACAAATACATATTTTGAAAAAAATAATCAATTTATCCTGTTGCAATCAACTGCACGATAATGTAAAAACCATTCTGGTTTGAGTAACATCATTCAGCGTCCTTTGTGTCAGAGAAAATATGGCAATATCTCCTTGCGTGGCGTCCAGGACCAAGCAAATGTGATAATTAAGAGATGAAGAGGCGAGTGGAGCCAGAAATAAACACGAGCGAGAAGTTCTGAAGCACAATGTGTGTTTGAACGGCTGACACAGTGACACAGGGTTGCAATTCACAGACGACCCTCACCACAGGGCCCAACCATTTACTGGAGTCTGGAGTTACATGAAGCTCTACACATGTAACATATCAAAGCAGACGGACATTGACATTAGCGCAGAGTGCCAAATGAGGGATGTGGGGGCACGTATTTACCAGCCCGAGCATATTACATTTACGGACCTTATTTTAGCCATGCTGTGTCACGGTCATTATATAGGAACTTCTTCTAAGGAGCAGTTATTAATTCACTTAAGCCATATCGAACTTCAGCAGGCAACTCGATGAAATGGGGGCGTGGGAGCCAGCGGATTTCAAAATAATATTATTTGAATACAATGAAAAGAAGTGAACTGCCGTCTCGATCTGGCATATGAAATTACATACTTGGGCTACATGCCCAAGGTTCAGGACTCCGGTGGGATTCGTTGTACAACTCCACCACATTATCAGCTTGCATGTTCAAGGTTCGCCGAGGTTGGCATAATCTCACGTGCCGTCAATGAAGTCTCGTGACAAATGATGCGGGCCCAGAGAGAAAAACCACCTGTCTTCTCCTATTTCCTGAGGTTTGGGAACTTTTCCCACGCAGTCATTGAATATATACATGTATTTGAGAATTACTTTAAATCCCGGCGATAAACTGCTGTCATAGCCTACACGCATTCACTTTATCATTTGAATCTTGTTTTCAAGGAATGCGATGGTATTGTTCAATTTAAAAAAACGTGCAAATTTCCTCCTCTCTCAAACTAGATGATATCTCTTTCCATAATTCAGTCTGAAAAATGCAGTTTTGACATTCAAGATTTCCGTGTTTTTTTTCCTGAAAGAATGAGGGCGCTATTCCTGTGATGTCATTCCTAGGAAGGAAGAAAGGAATTTCTGCTCCAATCGGGAACCCCAATTGGCTCACTGAAAAAACAAAACAAACTTATTATATTGGATAACATTTCATTTCGGTGGTAAATATGCCAGTATGCATTAACTTACACACCAAACATGCTCCAAAATGGGAAAAAATAGGGCCTGTATAGTTTTAAGAAGGACAGCGTTGAGGTATATTTTCAAGCATTTCATTTTGAAACCTACATGGCATAGAGCCTTTAATCCACTATACCGAAGTTTGTATCACTTGAAAGTTAGAGGATTAATTTCCCTCGTCATATTGACACGGTAGCGTTGACGTGAGTAGGGCTTTTACGTCCGGGAGTACCTGGGGATGCACACATTTTTTTCAAGGGGGCACCAAAAGACAATGACCTGCTGCAGAAGTTGTTCGTGGATTTCAAATACCCCCTCCCATTTGAAATGGAGAGGGAAGCACCCGGGAGCATGGGCATTCGCGGGGGGACGTCCCCCCCCCCAGTTACGCCACTGCGCGGTAGTCCGTGAGACTGTAAGATAGTTTAACTTATGTGAAGAAATTCCGTCCTAGTTTAACAAACTCATATTGTCAAAATGACATTTGCAAGTTTGGGCAAGTTTTAGTTTTCTGTTGGGTGGCCAGGAATGGCCATCTAAATCCTCAATTTCTTTACTGTCATCATTCGTTATTTTTTTCCATGAAATATCCCTTCACTGTTCAGATAATTGGTTCCGGTCCGGTTAGAATGTTTTCGCTCCTGGCGGGGTTCTGCTGTGACGGTCATGGAGGCCACGTCACAGACCTTATCAGGAGTTCAGAAGGCACGACCGATCGCCTCGCCTCGGCGGGATTTAGTATTTGTTATGAAATATCCTCCAATTTCCGTCAACCTCACAAGCACAAATTGGGCGCACAATTGAAAACTCAAATGTGATGCTCGGCTCGACAGGGCCATTACCCCAAGCCCGGAACATCAACCCTCGACCCCTTCTCGGCTCAGCTCCCTGCTTATGGGCAATAATTTATGGCTAGTTTAAAAAAGGAAAGACATAGATGCGATGTCGTTGTCTTTGCCTTGTCGAGTGCAGGATTTATTGAGTTGCAGTACGCATCTACTCCACTGCTGCTCGGCAGTGAGTGGTTCTAGGTTCTCAAAGTAATAATGAAAGGGACGAACCCATCGACATGACGAGAGAAGGAAAGCTATTGTCGGTTGTTGTCGAAATCCTAGCTAAAGCAACGGTCTGAATTGGGCGAAGCATGAGTACCCGTAGGAAAGCGTTCTTGCAGTGTTACTACGACTTTCAATCTCCTTTTAGGCAATAAAACGGAAAAACTTCAACGTCTTGGTTTTTGTGGTCATAAAATTTTCCATATTCATGAGCTTAAAGCATGATGTCATCTCAGGCATATTAGTAGTGGCTCTTTATGTCTCTGTGTATAAAATGCATCACACATTTCTGTACATTTTCTTGGAGCAAGAGAAATTGTCAAAGTTTCTTCAAAACGTTGTTGGGGGTATTTGTGAGGGATGATATTTCATAGCAAGTTCCTTGTGTGACGTAAGAAAAATAGCGCCCTCTAAAATGTATTGGAAGGATTTCTTGGAATGGAAAATACCTCGTTACTTTTAATGAAAATAGCATTTAGATTTTGTTTGTATTGTTAAAACACATTACAATACATGTATGTATGAAAACAAGTTCACTGCGAGTTTCTTTTAAAAATACAATTGACATGGAAAGGAGAGTTGAGATTCAGTTCAGTTCAATGTCGTTCAATATGTTCCACTCATCATACTCACCACCAGATCGAGAACCCAATTTCCGGGGGTGGGCAAATTGTTTTTTGGTGACCAAGAATTCAAATGTCTCTGTGTAACTTATCTGTGACCTTTGCGAGAGTTAAAGATAAACTTGGAGGCCTATTCGCTTTTTTTTTTAAAGAAAGGGAAGTGATATAAACCCCCAAATCGCCTTTATCGCATTATACCCCCCCCCCCCGCCGGAGAAGTTGCCTCTGAGTGGTGTGGTGGGCATGGTTCTCCGTTGGTGCAGATCCGTCAGTGTCCCAATACAAAGTTTGTTGGTGCGGCGGTCACATGTAAACATCGACAAGACGTTACACTTACAGTCCCCCATTAAGCATAATAGGAAAGGCCAGTGTAATGTATTACAGGAAGCTTGGGGTAACTCTGTCTTTCTGTGCAGCGAGAGAAGGGTAGGGTGCCCTGCACTTGAAAAACAAATGCGTCTAGAGCGAGACATGTTGATCCGTCAGTATAAACAGTGGAAGTCGGTGGCTCAGGGAACAGAGACGGGGGGGGTGCTGTCTTGACTGCTGAGATACACTTATACTAGTGAGCGCACACTCCACAGTGGCAATGGTGTTTCAAGGGAAGCACAGTTATCGATTCGCTACATAGTCCATCATTTAGGGAAATTCGTAATCTCTCTCTTTTTATTTTTATTCCAATGGCGCTTCTTATCAGCTGCCGGCGTATTACGTTTTACCAGGCTCTGTTTTGGCGAATACTATTTTTTTTTAAGTTTTTCTTTTTGAAAAAAAAGACTGTGTAAAATGGGCCCAGTTTGGACTTGTCGGTTGTTCTCGTGATTGGCCAACGAGTTGCAAACTCTTGGAGGCGCACTATTGTGAATCGCCCATATTATTATAGCATCATAACATCAGTACACAGGGTAGACCCTCAAGTTCATGTCTTCACATTATCACAACAATTAGTTAACTCTGCACAGTCTCGTCCATCGCTGCCTCTACAAACTCCCCTGTCACTTGTCTTTCTTCGGCAGGACACGCGTCACCAGTCCCGTCATCGACTCCATCAGTGACACCACCTTCGAGTATAGCGCCGCCCCCGGCCTGCCGTTGATCGGCGGTTTTTCCTGGCTGCCGGAGTTCACGTGGACCGGGGTGCCCTTGCGGGAACAGCGGCGGGTCAATTACGATATCCACCTGCCGCTCAGGTATTAAGAAGCCCCGGCAAGGTGACAAAAGCTTTGCTCGTAGCAGGTCAAGGTGGATTTCCTGAAGGATTGGTACATGGCGAAAACGGGATAAGTTATACATGTGTTTACCTGGAGGCGTTTTGTTTGACAGTTGCAATTGGGAAAAGCGTCCAAGGACGATTGCAAGATTTAAGGTTAACGACACTGAAATAAAATAGTTATCGACTTTAGAATATTTTTTGTTAGAATGTATTCCTTTTATTTTCTATTTGCACCGCTCCAATTTTGCTCTTATGATTCGTTCCCAGTCCTGAGTTTATTTCAATAACATCAGCGTTCCGCTTTTGCTCTCTAGTTCTCTTGGCCGCGAAGCCAGTCTTTCTGCACTTCCTTTAGCCATTCTACTGTGCTCATCTTCTCCAAAAAAAAATATGTATTTTACCCCCCCCACGACCACGCTTTCGGATCCTTCGATGATTCTCGTAGGCCCTAGCTCCTTTGCCCCATCCACCTTGAGTGGCAGCAGTCCCTCATCGGTTGAAAAGAACCATGCTTGCCGGCAGTGTTCGTTTTATTTCAAAGATGGATTTGCGTCGGGGATGAAATTAATTTAACTAATGATAATATCAATTTAATAAATAAATTAGTCCTCGTTTTGTTGGTAGCGACGCGCAAAAAACGCATGCATCCCACAGTCGTTCGTCGACCAGCGAAGTGAGGTTCCAACCAAAGGAGCCTCCGTTGTAAGGAAAATCGCGCCCTCTCTTGATCCAGCTCGGGGCTCATAGCTGGTTCTTATGGAAATTGTTGCTAGTGTATGCATAATTTATTGGAAACCTTCAGTGAAGTAGTCCTTTTCTGGTATGTTGTTGGAGTTATTTTCCCTGATGTATTTGCAGGACGCCTACCATGGCGGGCGGGCTTTTCGCCATCCACCGTGATTTCTTTCGCCGTCTCGGCGGCTACGACACTGGCATGAGGATCTGGGGCGGAGAGAATCTGCAACTCTCCTTCAAGGTTTGAATTCTGTGGTTTAGTCTTGCAAAAACTGGGGTGTTTTTTTCACCGAGTTCAGGCCGGTTTATACGTGACACGAAAACAAACACTCCCGACAAACGCCAGTTTGTGACGTTAGATCAAAATTTATATCCACACTGCGAATACGCAAAGTTGAACACATTTTCAACTCGAGTGAAAATTTGCTGCAAATCTGTCGTGACGTCAAATTCACTGTGCTTCGACATCCGCCTGAAGTATGAACCGGTCTCTATACAGTTCTGATTTCAAGGTCATCACAGGTGTTGTGTTTCAATGTTATTTCAGGTTTGGCAATGTGGGGGTTCGTTGGAGATCGTGCCTTGCTCTCACGTGGGTCACGTCTTCCGATCCACCACCCCCTACGACTTCCCCGAGGGTGCCGAGACCACCGTCCTACGAAACAACCGACGATTCCTGGAGGTGTGGGCCGATGCCTACACGCGAGAGGTTCTGTACGCCATGACGCCGGCCTACCGAGGCGTGGACTACGGGGACGTGAGCGGGGAGATCGCCCTCCGGGACCGCCTAGGCTGCAAGGGGTTCCAATGGTACCTTGACGCGGTCTACCCAGAACATACTCTGCCCTTGAAATTCAGCGTGCTTGGCGCGGTAAGTTGAATGAAAAACGAGCACATGTAAAACCTGAAGTGCGACTATGAAACCATTCACACAACCGTGTAGATTATAGTCAAGCCACCGACAACGGAAGAAAATATGGTTTCTCATGACAATGAACGAAGCATACCGATCAAAATGAAGAGTTTTGACGACGAGTTCATTGTAACAACGTATAATCCATAAAACATGAAGAACACTGCGTCAGCTCGGGCGGGCGTCGAATGCTGAAGTCACCGAGGCAAGCAAAGTAGCCCAGGCTTTCAAAAAATAGAGCAAGCGTAAGTGAACGGCAAAACGCGGGGAAAAACCTCCCAGAAGAATGCCTAGCACTAAGTCAAGAACGCTAAAAGGATTGGGAGAAGTGATCTTGGTAAAAATGCCCTGCTTAGGGACACAACAAAAATTGATAAAAGTCACATTCTAAACAGAAATTGTAGCAATCTTCCCTACAAGTCCCATTAGCAAATAAAAGAACCATTTGGAACGACTGTTGGAAAGTAATCAAACTTTGGTAAAACATTTCCTTGATAATAGTATTGTGTTTGGGAATTGCGTGCCTGATATATAATCGCGTATCTATGGGCAGCTTGGAGCTTGGACAGTACCATGACATTTCCTACTGTCATCGTGGTACCACCTCAAACCAAATTACATCTTCCACTTTTAATTTAAATAACAGAGGTTTGTCTACAGTGACCCGTTGCTTGTTTCACCCTCCGATTCCCGCGCTCTGACATTATTTTCTGTCTTAAAAACTTGGATGCCCGGTCTGGAAAGTAAAGCCCTCGTGCTTAAAAGGTCTCTGCCACGAATTTCCCGGGGAAGGAAATGTCACTTTGAATTCGCATGGGCTCGGCTGGGAATTCAAAGCTTCTGACCGGGGGCCGAAGCACGTCATGCGCCGGTGATTCATATCTCACGGCTGACTGTGACGGTTTGAAGTTCACGCATATACAGGTCAGTCGTTTCATCTAGAAACTGAACAAGCTACAGACAACCCCCCCGGCCCTGAGCTACAATGCTTGAAAATAAGGCTACGTACTAGTGTTCAGCGTTTACAAGAACCGTCTTGCACATTTTGAGCCATATAGTTGCCGTGAGCCCGCTGAGCTGGACCGAGAGAAGGCCGTAGTTATATTCCTGGCGGCGGAGGCAATGGTTCTACGCTGGTTCACAGACGACTGTAAAATGCACGTGTAATACGTGCTGAATACAAAGTCCACATGTCGATTCCCGTTTCGAAGACTTTAAGCTGTTATGGCATCCCAGCTGTTCCTCTCGCTACGTTTACCGACCCCCAAGACTATCATAAGAATTTTTCCCTTTTCTATCACTCACGCTTTAGATTAAAAACCTCGGTGTCAACATGTGTCTAGACGGCATTGCTTCAAGGAAGGATGGAAGGAGAGATGTGGACATAGACGCAGCCTTGGAATTGTGTCAGGGCAGCGGGCCAGGTCAGGTAAATAAGGAATTGATCGCATCCCAGTTTGCTCAGTCGAACCACTTAATCTAGTGCACGGTTGAGGGTTTTAAGTCGCGAATGAACATGATAGCTTCCAACCGTTGGTCTCTATAATTCCCCACACAAACGACTGCTATTTTTTTCTCTCTTGGGTTGTCGCTTTTGCAATACGGCCATTGAGTTGGTATTTTATAGAGTCGAACTTGCTTTTGAGTAAGAAAATTTGGGTCACCTTCAAAGATTACACTGCTCCCCAGTCATACATTTCAGCCTGGCCTTTTCTTGAATATGGAAATATGCACTGAACCATTTGTTTCATTTTACCTCTTGTCGACAACAACAAAAAAATTAGAAAAAACCGTTTGTCCTCAATATGGTTCTGAAAGCAGGTGTTCGCTTACAATTCAAGAAACCAACTACAACATGACCGTCAATGCCTGACTGCCGTAGAGGGCACTAAAGCGGCTCAGCTGCGGTTCTGCATTGGTGACGAAGCGAGAAATGCAAATCAACGATGGGTATACAACAGCAAGGTTAAAACGACTGCATTAATTCAGTTATTTAAATTGTTAACATTTCCGTGACAGCTAATCTAGGGTCAACACCATTACCCTAACTTTTCTTTTCTTTTTATCTACGGCCATCGGGCAATTAATTGAAACTAAGTTCTTCTTGATTTGCATAATTATGCTAGGAAAGTAAATGGTAATTGCTTTTGATGTTGAACACTTTCAGGGGATGACCATCGTCAACGTGAGCACAAAAAACTGTCTGGATGTAAAGCCCTCGGAGGCTGACGACGATATTTTCTTGGCAACTATGAATGAGTGTGATGGCGCCCTCTCGCAGCAATGGACAATGCACAACATAACCATACGTGGATTCAGTTGACGGATGTGGAACAATCGCCGCCAGCCGTGACTCAAATTGCCCCGCCGGGAGAGGGATTCAGTTTACAACCCTGACCCCTTCCAACACGCGGACACACTGTCGGCCGATAACAGAGATCGAGTAGTGTTTCCGATGTTGCACTGTGATGCCTTCATGTGTGGGGGCCTGGACCGCCCTGTCCGGATTTCGACAGCATCAGTGACTTCATTCACGCTGGCGGGGAGGGGGGGTCACAAAGTTCGACCTTCAGAAAGCCGGAAGCAGAGGAAGAGGGCTGAACCCACAGTACGTTAGAGGGTACTGTTCCTTATCATGAAAACGGTATTTGTATATATCAGGGCCAGTGCACACGTACAGGTACATATAGGCCTAGAACATCCCCTCGATTGACGCCATGGGCACCAATTCCCCACCCCCCCTGTCCATTTAGGCCTACGTAGGTCACCAGTAGCCTAAGCGTGCTTTACACAACAAGGAGGTTCGCCCCGGAACTTTAACTCGCCGCGGCAAGATCTTGTAACTCGCCGCGGCGACACAAATTCAACGATTTAACTCGCCGCGGCGACCTAGACATTCAACGATTTAACTCACCGCGGCAAGATCTTGTAACTCGCCGCAGCGACATACAAATTCAACGATTTAACTCGCCGCGGCAAGATCTTGCAACTCGCCGCGGCGACATAAGCATTCAACGATTTAGCTCACCGCGACAAGATCTTTTAACTCGCCGCGGCGACATAGACATTCAACGATTTAACTCGCCGCGGCGAGATAGTAACTCCATTTTTTTTTGGCAAGTGGCCCTGATGCGCTTCTGTCTGTTCGGCATCCTGGCAAAAAGGGTAATTCCACGCAGTATTGGGAATCGCTCGCACTGTTATCAATTCCTGTAGAGTTGTTATTCCCTCACAAAAAAATAAATAAATAAATAAAATGAAAGCGTGGAAATAAAGGATAGGCCTACAACGATATTGTGACCACTATTAACTTCCATTAAGCAAGATTCTTTTCAAGGCCTATAATTCAGAAGTTCTAGCGACTTCACTTTGCAAAGCTGAGTCACAAACACGACTTTTTTAAAACCATCATCAACCTACAAGTTCTATTCAGCGTTCAAGAAAAAAAGAAGAAAATTTGCTCAAAATAAACTTGTATTGGCTTGCAAAATATGTCCCATGTATGGAAAAACACGTCAGGACTAGGACAATGCCCATTTGACGTATTCTGTACGATCTGGTCAACAAACCAAGCGCGTAGGCAATTTACTAAATACTGACATTCTGATTACATGCCAAGAGCAGAACATTGAGTTTAGACAGCCGCGGGGTCGAAATTCGGCCTTTCCTTCACAGACTCCTCGGAAATCCAGAGATGACATTAAAACAGCAGTCCCACGCAGTGACGCGGGGGAAAACCTCCTAGCTAGAGGGCCAACTTCACGTTAGATAAAAATCCACTAAAATCGAAGTTTCTGATAAAAAGAGTAGCTTTATTTGTGTTTCCAATACTGCCACTGGAACCAATCGTACGGTGGACAACCATTCGGTGTTTAAACTACGGTTTTTGATTGGCCAAGTCCATCGTACATGTACCTAGTACTGTGCATCCGTATTCAACATAACTGCAATTTTTGTTGGTTTGTGGTAGTTGGTTTGTGGTAGTTTTACGTAGAACGCAATATATTTTACACAATTAAGTAGACTTATACACTATAATCACTTTATGAGAATAAACAGAAAAACTGAAAGAGAAGTAAACGAAAAAACAAATCTTACAATCACAAAATAAATCTTTAAATTACGGCAAAAAACGTGAAAGACAATTTGGCTTAGAAGATAGAATAGACAGCCCTACAGACATTTTATTTGTTTGCAAACACAGAAAGCCATTTTGTATGGGCGGTCAAACTTCGCAAAAAGTTCACCATCATAGTTTACAACGACGTGTGCCTCAAATGCACATTTGCTATATCGGTGGCATCAAGGGAGGCATTCCCTGACAGTGTTATAACATTTACATGAGATTTTGTCGACACTTTGAGAACTACTCCTTTGGCATTGAGCTCACGGCCAACCTGACTGGTTGGCAAAATGCGCTTGTGACCAGAGGCAAAAGAAATGCCGAAGTGAAGCGTGACTGTACAGGAACCGTAGACAAATGGGCTTATTTAGCCTTCGGGCGCTGATCGTGGTAAGATGTGTCCACAGCATCTGAGCAACAGTTGGCAAAATTTATTCATAATTTATCTTGTTTAAATTCAAACGTGAAAAGTGCATCGCATAATTGCAGAACGGGCCTCAGAAAGCTCTCACATCAGTTCCCTCTTCCCTTATCCTTACATTCTAAACTCCTGATCCTACCAAACACAAAGTGCAATCTACATTCAAATTAATTGGAAAAACTGTCCTTTGCACCAGATAGTCCTTATATAAGATAAATGAGGGAAAATCGCTCGCAAAATTAAAACCGAACTAAATTGAGTTGAAAACGAATGAAATACTACCATAAACAAAAATGACACAAAAAAAAAAAAAAAGGCAAATCACACACTTTAATATTGGGTTTCCCGGGGAAAGCCAATATTAAAATTTCCAATTTCACCACTAAAGCAAATACCCCAAATCAAAATACATCTACATGCACGTGCAATATTACCTCAGCGTGCCAAAGAAAGTCCTCTTTTTTCTACAATAATCCTAACAGTACATTTTTGGTCTGATTTTGTTTTGGGGATACATTTACACCTGAACTCACAGACAACGGCTGTATCTAATGTACACGTACATGTACTGCACCGCACCCAAACATTGTACGCATACATGTACGTACATTACTATACCGTACATATACACACCGTTTATTTAAAAAAAGAAAGAGTTGACACAATTATTCGAATAACACCGAGACTGCGTTGTCGACTTTTAGGCCCTCTGGGCATTTTACCACCGAAAGGCACAGAGACAATTCTCCACAGCTAAGAGGGAAGAAAAAGAACCCAAAGTCCACAAACCCAGCATAGAAATAATCCAAAATCGTGGTGTATATTTACACTTGAAAGACATGAAATTTGCGGTTTTTTATTTACAAAGATCGATTGTGAATCTCATTTACACAAATTGAAAATGTAAGCGCATGTGCATGCAAACACTTCGGTACAGAATAAGACAAAAAAAGAAAAAACAACCGTCATAAAGAGATTTAATACAGAAAGGGCTTTACATCCGATTCATTGCATTGCACTTTCTCTTATCTTCAAGGTACAATTAGAATTAATGTTCATGTACATAGACTCTTGTTGCAAGGATAACTTGGGCTTACTGGTCTCTGTTCAAGAAAGAAACAATGCAAAAGGTTTCCTGCATTACTCCTATAAAATGCAATGGCAATTTCTCAATTTTTATAAACTGCCGTTCGCTGGTAAATCACAAAGTAATGGAATCTTCCTGGCACAACTTGTGTCCTGCAAATGCAGGTAAATTTTCATAAAACATGGTGGGGGGATTCTGTACACAAATCTGGGGTCACTACTTCTAGTTCTGTTTTTCAAAGGCCTTTAAGTAACATGTCAAGGGTAAATCAGTACTGTACATATCACCTGTTCTTTTCTTCCAGCTCAAAAGTTATGATGTCTAGAGCTCTTTCGGCACAAAGTATAAGCCTCAATTCTCAACTCCCCCCCCCCAAAAAAAAAATAAAGAAAGAGAAAGAGCTGCAGTGTTCGACTGAATGTCCTGCCTGAATTGTAGTTTGAGCATAGGTTGCATTTCTGTGTAAATGATCCCGTTTTCACTGACTTGACAACATATTGATTTGTGACAACTATATGACCTGTCTTCCGCAAAAACAGCACACAAGTATTGTAAGCGCATATAAACGAATGTAGATTTCTGTGGAGTAACCCGAGCCAAATGCTACTGTTGGGCCAGTAAACATTCTACAATGTTTCGGGAGTGGGATTTTTTGCATTCGCCATTCTGCACCATATTGGCCTGTCGCGTTGACAGATAAGGCCGACTGTCTCATGAAAGGAGAGAGATTATGAGGTATAAACTAGTGAAAGAACTGACGTGGAAAGCTCCCGGTTTCGAGGCGAGTGCTGTGCTTCGACCTGGGCCACTAAACTCAGGGGTTGTCGCTCTACGTCATCCTGCACCCCCGAGGGATGACAAACACCCACCAAGATGTGGGGACAAGCCAAGCTTTATCTAGCATTGCATACTGTCCTATGGGACGAGTCTGATGGGAAGTTGACAAAGAGGTTGGCTTTCCTGGCAAAAGTACTGGCAGAGAGTACCACAGGAACAGACAGAAAGACATTTCATCAGAATAGTACTTTTTCAAACCATCTTCATGTTAACTTTTACCGGCTGCATGCCAATATAACCCTAATGATACCTTTATACGCAATGGAGTCAATACATATTTCCTGATTTCTAAAAAAAAAAAAAAAATTTGGAGAGAATTCCGTCTTCTTTGCTGCAAAGCACCACGGTCAAGTTCTTTTTTACAAACCTGCTACGTCTGGTTAGTGGGTTTCGCAGTGTGTGGTTGGGCAGTTTGCCATACCAACAATGCTTCCAATTCTCTCCGCATTTCTGCTAGTAAGGAGTGCTCTCTGAATCCTCCTCTGTGCTCCACAGTGCAGGGACCTAACTTCTTACTCCTTATACGTGTACCTGTACTTCAAAGGGACACCACGCTCCCTTGGATTGTTCCCACAACCTCCCCCACATCTCTCAGTAACCAGACAAGGTCTGCAGTGCCAGGGTTTAAGTCTCTAATCGAGCAAACAGCATGGTTGCTTCTGAAAGTTCAACCTAGGCATCCAACCACTGTGATGAAAGCGAACCTGAAGTTGGACCCTTCCTTAAACGATCAACCTTCAGTTAATCTCAGAAAGACTTTACTCATTCAAATGGTCAGGCTGCATAAAAAGGTGCATACCCGTTGACAAGTAAAACAAAAAAAAAAGCCCTCTGCTTTCACCTAACTAAGGGGGGGGGGGAGAAAGACAGCCCTCCGAGTCACCACTATGATGTCATGGGCACTTCCACCAGTTGCCATTGCTGCGACGATGAGCCGTTGCATTTTACCAGGGTAGGAGTGTCCTTCGCTTTGCTGGACTTGTCAAGACAAAGGCCACTTGGAACATGGGTGATAGTTTTCAGCTATACAAAAACAGAGGACAAAAAAACACCCAGAATTACAGCAACTTTCTTTCAAGGGGTGGGGAAAAGCAACCTGCTGTTAAGATTTTGTATAAACGAGGCTTTCATTTTTGCAGCAGTTGGGTACCAGCGTCAAGCCACTTCCTTTACAAACCCGACAAAAAAAAGGCAAAGTAAAGTTTTTCCTGCCAGTGCAATCTATGCTAAATGTACCATCTATCCCGCCCCACACTACATCGAGACGCTATCAAGGAAGACTGACTGGAGGGCTCTAAAAAGTCTTTTTGGAAGCAAAACTAAACAGAGTATTATTGGTGCTAAAACCAAAAAAAAAACAATCTGGTGCCTGCTTGTTCAATTAACCATGCACTGTGTATTTCAGGACTAATCACGGACATAGCTACTTGACACTCCACAGCACCATGTTTTGTGAAGTACATGTACACATTTGTCAGAATAGTACTGAGCTGAATCAATTGGACAATGATTTTCATTCTTCACTTTTCCAAGTAGTTGACTTCCAGAAAAACAAAGGAATGTTCATGCAGTGCACAAAACGTGAACCCCCCTAGCTGTGATGACATTCGTGGGCACTGCGGTGTCCCTGTCTCATCATGCACAGCACAGAATAGCCCATGAAGAGGTTACAAGGTTGCCAACCCTAAAAGAGCCAAAGCGCTTGTATATGGTACCTTGTGGGGTACCAGAACAATGGAAGGTACCCCACAAGGCCAGTTTTGATCCTTGTGGGGTACTAAAGTGGTACCCCGCAAGAATTTCCCGAAATAGATATTTCAAATTCACTCAAGAGGGAGGAATTTTCAAGTGCCGTTCATCCATGGCAAATTGAAGTGTTTTATATGAGGGACATACGGTCAAAATTTCAACCCAGGAAACTGAGTTTGGTTGAAATGGCAGTGATTTGAAATTTTTTCCGTGTTGTGTGGGAGTTTTGTACACGAGAACAAAGAAAATACATGTACCCCACAAGTATACATGTGAGGGTGAGTGTGTAAACGCCTTCAATCGTGGACCTATAACAATAGGGGGCAATAGGGTCAGAAAAGTTGGGGGGGGGGGAACCAGTGGCCCCAAAGAGCCAAGTTGTTATGGGGTCAAGGAATGGGTTGGCTCACCTGCTCGTCGTATCGCCACTCCTGGTTTCCCCGCTTCCCGTGGCATTTCAGCATGACGATGTCCTGGAATTTGGTGTTGCTCGAGGCGTCCAGGCAGAGATCGTCGTGTTTCAGCTCGTTCTGCCTCGTCAGTGCAAAAATCTGCAGGAGTGATGGAAAAACCCTGAGGTAAAGCACGATGTATGTCTATGACAGCACTGGCAGTGACCGCGAGGTCACATATTCCGCCGCAGTCAAATTCTATGTTCAACCTCGTGGCGATTTACAGTGAACCTGAGAGGTTTTTGGCTTGTCCACCTGACAGCTTTGAACTGATGAAAAGAATGTTTATGCAGGCTTCATATTATTCTCAGATTTCCATCCAGCACTTCACAATTCTTAACTGACGTGGAGGTGATGTGGAGGCTCGGACTTCAACCGACACCCGGAGCGGTTGGGTAAAGGAAACTTCAACCTCCAGAAGACCGCCTATCGACAGGCTGTCTTACCTGATTGCCACCTTGGCTGTGGCAGGAGAAAAAGCCGACTTTCTCGTTCTCCTTGCGCCCCATGTTGTCCAGACACTTCTTGGTCTCTATGTGCTTGATCTGAAAAGGGTTAAAGTTCAGCGGGTGGGTCAAAAAAAAGTCCATGAAAATGCATTGGGGAAGACAGCAACCACTTACCAATGCTTGAATGGAATTTTGGCAGGTATCATCTACTGGTAGACTGCTATATAAAAATCGTCAGTTAAATCCAAAAAACATATACATGTAGTACGCAGATATTTTCCTTTTTTTAAAATCAATCGCAAGGACAATTCCCCTGGTGACAGATGGAATCAGGCATGGTGAAATCATCCACACAATGTACATCTGCCTGCACCAGAGTTCAGAAATGTATTGAAAGCACAGATTAAACTTCAGTTTTTGCAATAAGGCCATGACATGTCGGCACAAAGATTTAAAAGACACATAATCGACAGCCCATCATTTACTTAGGCGGTTTAAATTCAATCATTTTTTTTTCTTTTTTAAATAGCTTGCTGAGAGGCATCTTTAAACTCCTAATTACAATGATTTTTGGAAAACAAAAGGGTACATTCATCTTTTGTTTTTACCAGTTCATGATTTCAGGGCATCACGCTCCACATGAAGGTCAGTTCACACTTGAAGCAAACAAAATGTGAAGCAAATTGGACCTCATGAAACAACGGCAGCAGAATTTGCTTCAGTCAAAATGTATTCAACTTTTGTGAGCGAGAATGTTTGACCTGATGTCACAATTTGGCATTCGTGTTTGCTTTTTTGGGCCAAGTATGAACCCGTCTTTAACTGTGGCCACACAGAGCCAAATGCTTCAACACCACGAGGGCCGCATTTGGGCAGAGTAGGAGAAGACATCTCACCTCCCCAATGACTTGCTGGTCCAGCCTGAACTGGGACTCTGGGTAGATGTTATCCAGATACCACTCAAAACTTTTACACTCCAGTTTTTTCCGCAGTTCTTTCCGTAATGAAACATCTCCATAGTCTGTTTTCTTCACACCTACCAACAAATAAAATAAATAAATAAAAAAATCTAGTCACTCTCGTATACACAGATCTTGAAATGCACATTTTGCAAGTGGCCTCCTCTACAAATATCTGACCAGAAGTCACAAAAACATATTTTTAGGTACGCCAACAACAATGTACATGTACAGAGAAGGGGCGCTAGTATGAAAGAAAAACAAACCTTTTGGGCGACTGTTATTCTAAAAGAACCCTTTTTCCCACATCAACATCTTCATTTCAGGTCAAAGTTTTCAGCAGAAACATTCTTTGTAAACTGAATTATATGTATGACCTTGGCATAGGGTTCCAACAGTTGGAAATAAGATACACGTTTCCATACACGTAAAAGTATTAATGCACGCTGACATTTTATAACTGACAGCAACAACATTTCAAGGAATGCACATGCATTTCAAGTTTTGAGGCTACAGAATTAAACACTCATGTAAAATCCTGCAGCATTGCAGATAAAGTGATCTGTTCAATCTTTTATATGTATACCTGCCAGTTCATTAAGAGAGACATGAAATAAGGTTTTTGAGGCTTTAATAGATGTAGGAAAGCTTTTTTAAAACATCACTATGAATTTTCACCTGTTTTGAGGCAGTAAAATGGAGAAACTTTGACATGTAGGTTTTAAAGCTCATAAATATTTCCATATATGTGAACCAAATCATTATGTCATCCGAGACAGAACAGTAGTGTCTCTATCACACTTCTCTACACTTTCTTGAAGCTGTACACAGCAACTTAGGCAAAAGTTTCTTCAAAACTTTGTCGGTGGGTAATTTTTAGACCAGTTCGGAGGTGGTTTTTCTCATGCTCGTCTGAGAAGGAGTGCCTTGTCTAAAAAGTATTGATGACAGGATTTGTTAAGAATGGAAAGACTACCACTTTCTTATAAATCCATTTCAATGAAGTATTCAAATGTAGTTTGTATCACTTTATTTTAACAAATAGTAATAACGTACATGAAAACACATTGAGCTGAATATTCACCCCATGTTTCCCTTAAAATTTCTTGTATCAAACTGTTAATTCTTCATACATGTGCATGTACCCATCCGGAGAGACTCAAACAATCCTCGATAAAATACGATTACGAGTAATGTAGTCCAGGGGCCAATTTCATGGAGCTATTTAAGCAAATTTTGTGCTTGAGCAGCTCTATGAAATTGGCCCCCATGTCTAAAGTAGCTTTCAATTTTGGAGCAATAAGCACCTTTTATGGAATCATGAGTTCAAGGAAACAATCTGCTCATCAAATCATGCAGGTGTGCAATGGTCGAAAAGGGAGAAATGTTTTTCGCAACACCACATACATGTATCTCTTTCTTAAATTACAGGATGTTAACATGTTATCTGATGAACAGGCATAACAGTTCTTGAAAACGAAGAGATGAATTGAGCACACCGTTACTCTAATTACTCAATCTGAACTACTTGTACGTGTAATTTGAGTGTTTCAATTCAATAGTTCCCGAAATGTAAAGCTTTTGGCACAATTGTCACAGATGTATGACTAATCCATGAAATTAAAGATTTTTGGCATTGGAATTGGCACATGGAGGATTTACAAAGGAGTACTTCTAAATGACCAAAAGAGTTTCAATTTGGTCAGGCTTCCACCCATCACATACCGGTACATTGTACATTGCAACAGGGGGATGCCAGGGAGATGATTCAATGACTCGTTCACCATGCACACATCGCATTCACGAACTTCTCATTTTAAGGTTCGGTACATGCGTAACTCACATACTCATTAACCCTATAACCCCCAGGGCCTACCGGTATGTTAAAAATCAAGTTCAAATTGGATTTAGGACTGTTATGGTTGAAGAGATCGTTTTGCACGGTGCCACTGCAAACCTTTTTCCAGTACTTAATAAATATATGGAAATGCACTTGTACGGTATGAGCACTGGGCACCCACGCACAGCTTTGGATGTCTCCTGTAATAATACCAGTCTACTTCTGCTGTATTGCAAACAGAGATGATCAACTGTGTGTTTGTGAAGTCTCTCTCATATATTACGGGGAGCTATCAAAACAGAGAACAAGCGATCTGTCACTTTTAAAACTGGACGTGTGAACCTAGAGTAAAAGTCCTCCCGTTATAGGCTTGTCCTTTTCATAAAGTCCCACTCAATCACTCACAATTCCCACTCAATCTTCTCCCCCCCTCCCTTGGATGAAAAGCCTTTTGCTGTTACGAGTGGTGCCTGAGAGTCACACACGTCCTTGAGCTCTTCGCTCGAGATGAGGTCAGGCCAGCCCTCTCACAGCTGCGTCCACGATGTTAGCGACAGCTCTAGCACTTCGGTCAATATCGCAGTCAGTGTCAAAATATTCCAATCCCTCCCGTGTGGCTCGATACTTTATAAAACTGTAACTTGTCTGCACTGGGTTTGTCTCTTGGGCAGCTGCACTCAATAAAATGACCCAGAAACCTCATTTGTGCATTTCACTGCCTATACTCCTGAACTTAAAGGATAAAAGAATTTAATTGTACTATGGCCTATCTGTCCTCTTACATGTATATGTATCATTACTTACAAATAGCACTGTTTCAAATTATTGCGTTATACATGCAATACATGAGGTTTATAAATGTAGATTGACCTCATGTGATGATAATATCATCAGCAAACGAGTCACGTGACATCAAAGGTGCACTGCTTTAAGCCCTATATCTCCTGGAGTACACATCCCATCAATTTCAAACTTTTCAGATATCATGAAAAAGAAGTGTTCTAGACGAAAATTTACCTGATGTAATGATGACATCAAATAAGGAGTCAAATTACATTTTATTTAAAACAAGTTATTTCCTGTAGTGCATGCCTGATTGGGTCGAAACCTTGCCTCAAATGGTCATTATCAGGTTTGTGCAGTAGATTGGTTGTTCAAACTAACAAAAGAATGCGAAAGAACCCTCTATTCTGTTAGCCAACAGGCAGATGACCTCTAGTCTCGTTTTGTTTCGCATCTTCTTTTTCTTTAAAGAAAATTCAGCGCCTAGGTTTACGTACATGTACTGGTACATGTGCATGCATGCAATTATCGATAACAGATGAAAAAAAAACTCCAGTACCCTATGTACGCATGTACATGTACGTGTATATATGCACACACATTGTGCCGTGCAAGTGTAATGCAGTACACAATGAAACTTGTATTAATATACATACATGTGTACACAGGCCACACTATAGAAGTACATATACTAGTCCTTCAACACTACCCTCTGTGGGTACAGATGCGTGAGAATCTTTCAAGACCAACTGCATTACCTGGTGATATTCTGTAGTAAAAGTTTTTATAATCATCCATCCAGACCTCCGCCAGCCGCTGGTTGTTGCGATTGATGATTTTACCCGTACCCCCGGGGAAAGTGTAAGGTGTGGACTTGCGGAAGACGTGGCCCACATGAGAACATGTGACTATCTCCAGTGTTCCTCCGCACATCCATATCTGTTGAACCAGGTCATGCATGAGCGTTAACTCAGATAAAATCGGTGCCGTCAACTCCTAAAATGACAGCAAATACGTGGAACCTGCCAAATGTAAAAGTTCCAAGATGGAACCTTAAATTAAAGTGTTTCCAACGGCAAGATAAATCACCCTCTACAACCAACCAACTCAAGAATTAGCTTCCACTTAAGTGTGCATCGTGAAGTGTGCAATATGCGGGAATCTTTGGTTGCTAAAATTTGGTATTATCATCCAACTGTGTCTAGAAAATTGCTTCATATGTTCACACCGGGAGCTTGGAAAGTCATAAACATCCAGGTGTGTCTACAATACTGCATGCAACATACATGTACATGTCCCTGTATACAGTAGATGTCTGAGGTCTGTGGTGACCTTACAGCAGTCTTAGCAAACTACAATTACTAAATCACTCTATATGTAAGTGACAAGTCGGCCATCACCTCCTAAAGTGAATAACTATAACAACATACATGTACTTCAAAAAGTCCTGAACTGAGGGCCGTCAGCCCGACAATAACTACAAGTAGCTTTGCTGACAAAACCCCTTTGTGCTTAGTCGGAGAGATGCAGTATGTTCAGAGAATCATCTTGCTTATGGACACAAATCATTGCAGTTAGTCGTTTTCTCTCAGGAATTTTCTTTTGTAAACGACTGAAAGGTACGCGCCAGTTACCAAACATGTCACCCTGGATGTACAAGTGTTTCTTTTCTACCACATACGTGTACAAAAAAAAAATCAGTATAAAAAATACCGTTATAGAGTGGTCAGAGGCCACAAATAACGTCACATTACCCTCCCTACAATATAAAGTTCCCGCCTAGAATGAGAGGAACCCCCCCCAAAAAGGCCTCCTATTCCACAAAAAAAAAATAAACCAGGGACAAAGTTGCAAATACTGATGCTGCATTCAGAGACGTCGAGCCTCTTAGAAGTTGAGCTGTTCTGACATGCCGCATCCATGACTTCCAAGTCCAGCACGCAATGGCGCCTCAGGCAAGTAACAACAAATAACAACCGCTGAGCGAGGAAATCTCTTGCCATAACAATGCGGCATCCATTTGTGGCATTGTTCAAGGTTTCCCTTGAAAGAAGAAAAGAAAGAGAGATCTCAACTGCTCACTCTGAATGAAATCTCAAGGTTCTCTCCTCCCCAGACATCCATCCCAGCATCGTACGTGCCGATCTCCTCAAAGTACCCTTTACTGATGGAAAACAGACCGCCAGCCATTGTCGGTGACCTGTACAATACAGAACCAAAGGCAGAATCAAATCCTGTTATTATTCTCTCTAATCCCTAGGCCAAAATTAAGTTCTTAGCTGGAAAAAAAAGATTCCCTCATAAACTCAACTCCAAAGGTTTTCTCACAGACAATGCCACATAAATTTGCAGGCAAGCAAAAGAACAAAACAATATTTTTTACAGTATTTCAGAGCTTGTAGTGCCGCAGTGTACTCGCAGATGTTATTCTTGCACACACATATATGTATCCACGAGTCACTATCATTCGTGCACTAAGCACTTTGACCAAAATTTGTTCTTACATGTAAATAAACTAAATTTCTAATGGCTCAGTGGTTGAAAGTTTGACTAAAAATCCTACAAGGAACAATATTATGAAGAACATCGGATGTCACCGAAGCAGCAGGAATAACGCCGTCTGCAAACGAGTCAGATCGGCTGTAGTAAAACTTACATCACCAAAATTTGTGCACGTACGTCGCAAACGTCACTTTATGGGGTATTGGAGATACCCTACTTCTAAAAATCTGCCAGTTAATGTCTCTTGAATGAGGAATTATTTTTTGCATTAAATGCTTTGATGCAGTGATGCAGTTTGAGGAAAATCAACCATATAGCTTGATTTTCCATAACTGTCTCTTTTTTGTTCACCTACATGTACATGTAGGTCTTAACTTTTGTCGATTCCGTTTCAAGTGACAGTTCAGCATGAATTTTTGTTTTTTCAAATATGTAAGTCATTAGCATAATTAATGTGAGTAACTGATCTTGATATTATGACAAAACCCGTACAGTGCTGCTTAATCCGTGCCCGTCGTCGGCAAGGGAAATCTCAAAATATAAGGTGTGCAATGCTTTTTATAACGCCCTCAGTAATTGGCAAATTTGACCGAGTCATCATCAGTGCCTGTGTCGGACATCCAACACCGATCGTGAGCAAACAGCGATCATTTATCGATTTTCTAGACAATTTCAATCAGTTCATTTTTGCTTTTAGTCTGTGAAGTAAAACATTATGCTCTGCACACATTTTTCCCAAATTCTTACTGGAAAAGCTTTTAATTCACACATACATGCAGCTGCAGAAAGAAATGCACCAAAGTGACGATCCATCATCGACAGTGAATTAACGTTGGTTCATTCAAGAGTTTCACAAGGAGAAAGTTGGATGCTCGAATATTTGCATGCAGGAATTTAGGGTACTCCATGAACATGTACATAAACATGTAAAGTGTACAATGGGCGTACATGTACGCAGCCATGTTTTGGGCTAATTTCCTCCTGGCTGTACTGTTCCATGGCCGGCACCAAACTGAGAGGACAAATTTTGTTTAGTGGCATCCGGTCCCGACTGTGGGTACTTTGGTGTGCCCCCACTGACAAATTTATCCCAATATAGTGGGCCTTGCCATACTAGACAGGGCTGAAAACTGGTGACGAATTCACTTGAAAATTTTCGACCCCACGCCAACCCTGCGCATCAACCGTGAGATTGACTGCAAATTTAATTCTGGGTTGAACTCAACCCTCTTCTGGACCAGGGTTGAGAGTTTTCAACCCAGGTTGGAAATTGTTCATGCTTGTTGAACTCGCCCCTATAAGCTCACTGTGCGTGAAATAAGTGTGAAACAATGCTGAAGTGAGCGCGGGGTTAAAAAATCAGATTTTCAACCCAGGGCAGTCATGGGTTCACCCAGGAAAGAGTTAAACCTGGAACGAAAGGCTGTAGTATGCAATTAACGCCTAACAACTACCGTTAACATTTAAACAGATGAGTGGGCCCCATAAACACCCTTAATATATACTGGTACGTGTGACTGCATTTTGTTTGCATCTCCTTTTTTGAGGATATGGGCCCGAGTACATTTTGGTTTTCTCAGAGGGGGCTCAACCCACTGCCCCATACAAATGAAATCACTTCCTGTTATTTTACACAATGCAAAATGATTCATGAATTCACTAACGTTTAACATGTTTAAAAGCATCCAAGTACATGTATTTCAAATTCAAATTCTCTGGTCAAGACTTCCAACTGCATGACAGAACAAGTCAACCTTTTGAAGACAGAGTGTGCACTGTGTAACCATGTCTCTTTTGAACCAGAAAACAGCTTTTTTTAATTTCAAAAGAGGGCAAACTTCAGTCAATCAGCTTTTGCTTATAGAGACCAGGGTGTAACTGTGGAGATTCCTCTACTATATTCCAATCAAAACCTTGTGCTTCATCATACACATGTAAATCTACTACCAGTATATGCATTAGGATTCATGTGCCTTCAGGAAGCATAACTATTGCTGATTACTGCACTGTCTACAGATCTATCTCTGCTTCCCACAGATCACGACACACACACATAACACTGAATATTACATTGACCCAGTTCTGTCCCCCAACAGCAAATTTTTCATTTAACCACCTGCATGGTCTATGCCGAGTGCGTACGCATGTGCATGTACATGTGAACATGAGTTACTGTGATTTTCATGCAAAGAATACTAAGCAGCTTTGTGACTGGAAATGAACAAGAATGAACATGAACAGAAATACATGTACTAGTACTTACATGTTAACCCTAACAGTCCTCAATCCTCCAACAGGTGAAGGATTGAGGACTGTTAGGGTTAATACTGTTTACATGTATATACTCGGTTTTTTGCTTTTGTTTAGGGCTTTTCCAAAGAATATATATGTACGTATGTAATTGTAGACAAGGCATTTCTTGTCCAGATTTTTAATTTTTTTTCCATGTTCTTCTCTCCCTCAAACCCGAAGGCACTGTGCATAGTTTTCTACAGGGAATATTGTTTACTTTAGAAGCATGCATTTTCAGCCAAAGAGCATAGTTGTGTTTAGTTTTGGTTTGGTTTGCTACAATCCGCATTAAGCAGGTAGGAAAATCTGGTAGGAAAATCTCACTTTTTCCACTCCTTGTACACTTTGTGGATTGATACTACTTCACCTGCAGGCCTTTTCATGTCTCTATGCTTGCTATGCAAACGGTACATGTACATGTACTGTGTATACATCATATACAGTACATGTACACGTACATTGTACATGTACATTCACTCTGCACTCCACAGAATATACCAAATCGGAAAATACAAATGGCATGGCAATAAACAATGGCCTTCTGAGTGGATAGCCAGGAACCAAACCATCTCCCCAGGGTGACTGTAAGCTTGCAGGATTCTGCCTAAGAAATATGCTGAATGGAAGGAAATTTATGAGCAAATGCAAGGGCAATGCACAGTTTGATTGGATCAAGAGTTTTTCCCACAAACAAAATGAAGAACTTTAACAACAGCACTGTCAGGGGCAATCGTCCTGCAATGTAATTTCTATACTGGTTAGAGTCTTCACAGATGTAACATTTTAAGATTGCTTCGATCTTAAGGAACATTAAAGAGTAGATATTAATGTTAAATAACACCTCATCCACAGATTCTGTATCTTAATTGGCCGAAAATGTGTCATGTGACGCTTGTTAGTTTTACTATTTTTATACCACCGCTTCAAAAAGACTATACCATGCAGCCTCGTTCTGAAAAAGAACTATATACCTGTATCAACCAATGAAATATATCCGTAGCAAAGAAGGCATAGGCATGTACCTGCATTTCGGTTCATAGCGAACAACATTGGTTAATGATTGTATTTAAACGTTGCTGTTCCGCTTGGAGTTCTTCAATTAAATTTGATGAATGTAAATTCCAGTTTGTTTTTTAGCTTAAATTCTGCAGAATCTGTGGGGGGGGTGTTATAAAACAAATACTGACTGCTTTATCTCACAGTACAGTAAAACTAGCCTCCCGAGGTGATCCATGGAGCATTCTATTTTCCCGAGACAAATAGGATGCTCCATGGATCACCTCGGGAGGCTAGTTTTACTATACCACTCGAAGCAGTCAATATTTGTATAATATGTTCCTGCATAAATAACCGGCTGGGTGTGAATCATCAAAACAGTATGTGTAGACGACTGGTATGCACAAAGTGTGCCAAGAACAATAAAGGTAGTTCTTGAAAAATATTACGTACACTGTACAGTGTCTGTGCCCCCCCCCCATGTACGCTGAAATTAAGATTGACTCAACCGAGGCGAAAGTCATTTCTGCAATGCACAGGTGCATACAGGTATGGTACCAGTACAGTTCGGGGTTTTCAGTGGCACCGTCCAAATGTACATGCACACTGCTAGGCTAAGCATTCATGATTTGGGAGGCAACTTGTGGAGAGGGAAGACTTCAGCTTGCTGATTACCAGTTACATGTATTTAGAACTCGTCTGGAGACTGCTCCCTAGGTTTAATTAAGTAAAGCCAGTCGTTTTGACACAAGAACTGTACTCTGGCCTGATTTTGCACTCTGTAGTAAGACAAAAAATATTCAATTTGAAATAGTGAATTGGGATGCCACAGTTAGTCGAAATTACATGTAGCTGACCGCTGATTTAAATTCTCATGGTGGGCTGGTTAAGCTTGGAAAACTATAAATCAATGTTACTTGTTTATGCATAGATAATAATAAAGGATTCTTTTCTGAGCGCTGTACATGTACAGTAGCTTGGACCTGTGGTTCAACCATTTGCAAAATCAATGAGGCCCTTAACCCTTCACAAGAAGCAACTGAAGCATGCTACTGGTTGATTGCCCACATTATTGGATGCCAGTTGATTGGCTGATCTCTGCCCTGCATGAGTGGACTTGAAAAGAGACTAGCCAAGCCTCCATGATTACCCGCCTGCCTCCCGAGTCCCTACAGGATTCCGGCCTTAACTTTCCTTGGGGGGGGCTGGGGGTAACCTCCAGGCATGACACAGAATGACAGATAACATCTAGATTTGCCCCCATCATGCATCGATTAAATTATGCAAAAGCAACGGGGGCAAGACGGCGTGGGGGAAAAGAAAAAAAAACAGGGCTGCCATCCTGATAAATTATTGAATAAAATCTGGACGCAGAAATCAATAACCCCAGAATAGTAAGGTCGCTGTTGC